GCACACTCCTCAAGCTGGACGTGGTGGCTCATGGCTATAATCCCAGCACTTTGGGAGGCCTATGCAGGTGGATCACCTGAGGTCAGGAGTTCAAGACCAGCCTGGCCAACATGGTGAAACCCCCATCTCTGCTAAAAATACAAAATTAGCCGGGCGTGGTGGCGCATGCCTGTAATCCCAACTACTCCAGAGTCTAAGGCAGGAGAATCACTTGAACCCAGGAGGTAGAGGTTGCAGTGAGCCGAGATCACACCATTGCCCTCCAGCCTGGGCAAAAAGAGTGAAACTCAAAAAAAAAAAAAAAACAGACTCCTCAACCCAGTCAGCATTTATCTGGCTCCTGCTGCATACCAGACCATCAGACCCTTGTGCTTGACCATCAAGGCCTTGCTTAAGTGGTACCTGCTCTCACCACCTCTGACCCCTTTACTTCTCTGCAAACATAGTGTCTTATTAGCCTTCTCGTGATTCCCTTGTGCATAATAATGATACAAATGTTGTATGTAGTTTAAATGATGACTCAAGGCACAATGCTGAGTACTTCCAAAGCAGAAATCAGTATCCTCACAACTCACTTTACAGCTGAGGAAATCAAGGCTCGTAGAAAAAAAAAAATCACTTTCCTGAGGTCCCACAGCTGGGAAGAAGCAGAGCTGGGAGTCCGAATGGTCTTCCTGCCCTCAGAATCCCTTTGTAACTGCCGGTGTTCATACTGTGGATCACACTGATACACGCATCTGTTGTGTCACATGTCACACTGCATTATAATACCCTGTTTGGGGTTTTGTTTTTTTGGAGCTTGAGTGCAGTGCTCGGTCTCCGCTCACTGCAACCTCCGCCTCCCAGGTTCAAGCGATCCTCCTGCCTCAGCCGTCTCAGTAGCTGGGACCCAGGTGCACACCACCACCACCCAGCTAATTTTTGTATTTTTGTAGAGACGGGGTTTCGCCATGTTGGCCCGGCTGGTCTCCAACTCCTGACCTCAGGTGATCCGCCCACCCCAGTATCCCAAAGTGCTGGGATTACAGGCGTGAGCCACCAAGCCCAGCCGGTTTTGCTTTTTATTCCATAAAATAGAATACATGTTCCCTGTAATGTTCTATTTACATGTCAAGGTATTAGCCTATCTCCTATGAATGCTTCAAGATCAGGAACTCATTTTTGTATACATACTACTGCTACCCAGGAAATGTACTGAATTTTTGGAGGTGCTCAGAGGGGATAAGGAACTTGCCCAAGTCCCACAGCACACTGCTGGCAAAAGCAGAAGCCAAGGGTTGGGAGAGAATAAGGAAGGAAGGAAACCAGACCTCCCATGTGGCTATTGCTCACCCACCCCACCCCCACCTCCTGGCAAAGCTGCCCAAGTGACTCACACGGAGCTGCCTCCAGTGGCTCCAGAGGGGAGGCCTACCTTCCGGCCCAGAGCCTGGGCTGCCTCAGCCATCCATGGGCAGGGGTGTGGTTAAGGGCCTCCTCATTCACCTCTCCCTGATAGTCACAACCCCCTGTATGGGCACAGTACTTTACAGTTTGCCAGGCTGTTTCACATCCCATATCTCATTTGGTTTAAGACTCATGGGGCTGGGTGTGGTGGCTCACTTCTATAATCCCAGCATTTTGGGAGGCCAAGGCAGGAGGATCAGTTGGTGCCAGCAGTTCAAGGCTGCAGTAAGCTATGATCTTGCCACTGCGCTCCAGCTTGGGCAACAGATAGAGACCCTGTCTGTTTTTTCTTTTTTTTATTTTTCTTTTAAAAAAAAAAAAAAGGCTGTTGGCACTTTCTTAAAATAAGTGAGGCTAGAGACAGTCCTCCTGTTTGACAGAGAGGTAAACCCAGTCACTCAGCAAGCCATTAACAGAGCAAGGAATACCTTGGATACATTTTATGTGTAGTATTTTACTTATGTATGAACTGTATCTGTAGGAAGAATTCCCACACATGGAATTGCTTGGTCAAAGGGTATGTGCATTTGTAATTTTTTAATATATTGCCTAGTTACTTTCTACAGGAAGACCGATTGACTCCCATAGGCAGTGTGGGAGGCTGCCTTTTTCCCCATAACCCCACTAACTCGGTATGTTACCCAACGTGTGGATTCTTACCTTTCCGATAGATGAAAAACAGAGTCTCAGTGTGCTTTAGTTTGAGCTCTTAGTAAGAGTGAGAATAAACACTTCTTTTAATTATTAAGAGCTGTTTGGGCCAGGCGTGATGGTTGACGTCTGTGATCGCAGCACTTTGGGAGGCTGAGGCGGGCAGATTACGAGGTCAAGAGAACAAGACCATCCTGGCCAACATGGTGAAACCCCATCTCTACTAAAAATACAAAAATTAGCTGGGCATGGTTGCATGGGCCTATAGTCCCAGCTACTCAAGAGGCTAAGGTAGGAGAATCACGTGAACCTGGGAGGCAGAGGTTGCAGTGAGCCAAGATCGCGCCACTGTACTCCAGCCTGGGTGGCAGAGCAATATTCCATCTCAAAAAAAAACAAAAAATGGGCCGGGCGCGGTGGCTCAAGCCTGTAATCCCAGTACTTTGGGAGGCCGAGGCGGGTGGATCACGAGGTCAAGAGATCGAGACCATCCTGGTCAACATGGTGAAACCCCGTCTCTACTAAACTACAAAAAATTAGCTGGGCATGGTGGTGCGTGCCTGTAATCCCAGCTACTCAGGAGGCTGAGGCAGGAGAATTGCCTGAACCCAGGAGGCGGAGGTTGCGGTGAGCCGAGATCGCGCCATTGCACTCCAGCCTGGGTAACATGAGTAAACCCCCGTCCAAAAAAAAAAAAAAAAAAAAAATGGAGCTATTTGTAGTTCTTGTTCTGTGGCTCTTCTTTTTGTATCTTTGGGCGTGTGGAAATTTCAGTTTAATGCATCCTGCCAAACTGCCCTCCCCGAAAGTCTGAACACATTTGTACTCTAGGCCAGTGCTGTGGATGTATTTCCGTTAGCCGGGCACAGTGGTATGTGCCTGTTCCCAGCTACTTGGGAAGCTGAGGCAGGAGGATTACTTAAGCCCAAGATTTCAAATCTAGCCCACACCTCCCTTTCCTAGTAGTCATCTCATGGGCTTACTGCCCTCTGCCCCATCTCCTTCCCCTTTGCAACCTTCCACCTGGGACACTAAGGCCTCTCTGAGCCAGTCTTACCTTCTCCAGACACTCTCTCTCTTAGCAGGTTTTTTATTGTTGGTTTTGTGAGCCAAAAAATTCGTGCATCTCCACGACTGAATGTGATCCCTTCTTCTAGGGATGCTGGTGCTTTACTCTCAGGATGGACATGGTGATGGTAGAATCTTGGACGCTGTGATAAGCCTGTGGCTACTGTGGAAAGAACTTCACTTCAGCATGAGCAGGAGTCTAATCTGGTGCTAGGACTTTCGGTAGCCCTGATATAAAACAGTTAAGGAGTAGGTTGTCCCACTGGGGAAATCTGGAAGGGCTTCATGTTAGTGACATTTGCTAAATTTGCTAGGCCCTTGAAGACTGTGAGGATTTTGCCTAGCAGAAAGAGGGAAGGTAGAGAGCACTGTGATCCTGGAAGCTTTTGACCCTGTTTGGATTTTTTTTTTTTTTTTTTTTTTTTTTTTTTTTTTGAGATGGATTCTTACTCCGTCACCAGGCTAGGATGCAGTGGCACGATCTTGGCTCACTGCAGCCACTGTCTCCTGGGTTCAAGTGATTCTCCTGCCTCAGCCTCCTGAGCAGCTGGGACTACAGGCACGTGCCACCACACCCAGCTAGTTTTTTTATTTTTAGTAGAGACAGGGCTTCACCATGTTGGCCAGGATGGTCCTGATCTCTAGACCTCATGATCCGCCTGCCTCAGCCTCCCAAAGTGCTGGGATTACAGGCATGAGCCACTACACCCAGCCTGGAATACAAATTTATACCAAAAAAAAAAAGAAATTTATACCAGTACTATACTATCATTAATAAATTTTCATTAGAAAGTTCTGGCTGGGGAGTTCAAGACCAGCCTAACCAACATGGTAAAACCCCATCTCTACTAAAATTACAAAAATTAGCCAGATGTGGTGGTGCATACCTGCAATCTGCCATTATAAATGTAATTGTGGCTTTTATTTTTACCATTTTCAAGTCTGCCAGTCAAATATCTTAAATTTAAGTTTCGTCAAGATTTGCTTCTCTTCACAGTTGGTGTCTCCCTATGTGCAGTTTCAGCCATTATCTGTCTTGTTGTTAATTTCAACTTATAATATTCATTACCTACTGGATGAGAGAATAGTCATATTTCCCTCTTAGCTAATCCGTTAGAAAACTAAAAACAATTCTCTTCCAGAGGTCTGAAACTGCTGTGGCATCACTGGTGTCCAGAATTTCTTCTCTCAGTTATTCCATACTGGAATGGCCTCTGACATGCCCTTCTCTCCAGATGTGTCACACATGCCCTGTGTTCTCCTTGGCCTGTTGATCAGGGTCCAGATCCCCTCATGGCACAATGGCAGGATCGGCTGGGCATGGTGCTTCACACCTGTAATCCCAGCACTTTGGGAGGCCCAGGTGGGTAAATCACTTGAGGTCAGTTTGAAACCAGCCTAGCCAACATGGTGAAACTCCATCTCTACTAAAAATATAAAAGTTAGTCATGCGTGGTGGTGCGTGCCTATAGTCCCAGCTACTCTGGAGGCTGAGACAGGAGAATCGTTTGAACCCAGGAGGCAGAGGCTGCAGTGAGCCGAGATCACACTACTTCACTCCAGCCTGGGTGACAGAGCAAGACTCGGTCTCAAAACAAAATGGCAGGATCAGACCATCTTGCCCCAGGGTGAGGCAGGCAGCATCCCTGGCCAAGGGAACAGCATTAGCAGAGCCTTGCAGGAACATCTGGGAAACCCTAAAGCACCTAACTGAACCAAAACAGAGGTGAGAAGGAAATGAATGAGGTAGTGGGGCATCGGATTCCCACCAGTATCCAGCCCTGGAGGCCAGAACGCCAGCCGAGCTGAGTCTGTGCCATTCCTCTCTCCTCTAGAATGCTTCGGACATGCCTGAAACGATCACCAGCCGGGATGCCGCCCGCTTCCCCATCATCGCCAGCTGCACACTCCTGGGGCTCTACCTCTTTTTCAAAGTAAGTCTTTTGCCACCTGTTGTGTCATTTGATTTAAATGACTTTATTTTATTTTATTTTATTTTTATTTTTCCCATCACAAGAGCCATGCATGTTCATTTACAGAAAATAAAGAGCAGAGAAAAAGTAATAATTCACCCATAGACTACCCAAAGACAACTGTTAGTGTTTGGGACCCTTTCTCACTAGTCTGTATTTCTTTTCTCCATGTAGCTTTTTGTTTTGTTTTTGTGATACCAGTTTGGTTTCATTGTACCGTTTATGTTGGGATGGGGTATAGCTTGTGCTCAGACATACGTCTACCATACTAATCGCCTTTTTTTTTAATTTATCGAGGTTTATTTTCCCAATAAAAGTTACACAGGCTCAGTGTTGAAAACCTGGAAAACACAGAAAAGTAAAAAGGGGAAAACAGCAGTCATCCAAAACCCCACTACCAGAGACAGTCACAGTTTCCCTTCGGAGGTGTGTCCTTCCACTGTTTCTCCCTGTGCATGGTTTCTCTGTAGCTGTGACCACATGTGTATTCAGTTTGTAGCTGCTTTTTTCACTTCACATTAATAACATCAAAGCATTTTCTCATGTTACTGCAAACTCTCCTTAGTTGTACTATTTTCTGGATTATAAAAGTAATAAATTCAGAAAATCTAAAGAAAGTATATCAAGAGAGGGAAAAACAAATTCCACAACACAGAGGTAGTCATTAACATTTTGGCCTATCTCCTTTCAGGCTTTTTATTTCTTTATTTTAGGACAGGATCTCACTCTTATCACCCAGGCTGGAGCACAATGGCACCATCACAGCTCACTGCAGCCTCAACCTCTTGGGCTCAAGAGATCCTCCCACCTCAGCCTCCCAAGTAGTTGACACTATGGCCGCATGTCACCACTACACCCAGCTAATTTTTTCTTTTAGTAGAATCAAGATCTCGCTTTGTTACCCAGGCTGGTCTCAAATTCCTGGGCTCACGTGACCCTTCCGCCTCTGCTTCCAAGAGTTTAATACTGCTAGGATTACAGGCATAAGCCACTGCATCCATCATTTTCAGGCTTTTAATAAGCATATATTTAGCATTATTATAATCATATTTTAACTATAGTGTTAAATCTTTTATTATTTTTATTACGTTTTGGGTTTTTTTTTTTTTTTTTTTGAGATGGAGTTTCACTCATGTTACCCAGGCTGGAGTGCAATGGCGCGATCTTGGCTCACCGCAACCTCCGCCTCCTGGGTTCAGGCAATTCTCCTGCCTCAGCCTCCTGAGTAGCTGGGATTACAGGCACACCCCACCATGCCTGGCTAATTTTTGTATTTTTAGTAGAGACGGGGTTTCACCATGTTGTTTAGGCTGGTCTTGAACTCCTGACCTCGTGATCTGCACTCCTGCCTGGCGACAGAGCAAGACTCTGTCTCCCAAAAAAAAAAAAAAAAACTACAAAAAATTATCCCAGCATGGTGGCACACACCTGTAGTCCCAGCTACTCAAGAGGCCAAGGCAGGAAAATCACTTGAACCCAGGAGGCAGAGGCTGCAGTGACCCAAGATCGCACCACTGCACTCCATCCTGAGCAACACAGCAAGACTCTGTCTCAATAAAAAAATTATATATATACGGGCCAGGCGCGGTGGCTCACGCCTGTAATCCCAGCACTTTGGGAGGCCGAGGCGGGTGGATCACGAGGTCAAGAGATCGAGACCATCCTGGTCAACATGGTGAAACCCCGTCTCTACTGAAAATATAAAAAATTAGCTGGGCATGGTGGCGCGTGCCTGTAATCCCAGCTACTCAGGAGGCTGAGGCAGGAGAATTGCCTGAACCCAGGAGGCAGAGGTTGCGGTGAGCCGAGATCGCGCCATTGCACTCCAGCCTGGGTAACAAGAGCGAAACTCCATCTCAAAAAAAAAAAAAAAAAAAAAAAAATTATATATATATATATGTAATTTGTATACATGTAGGCCTGTCGCAGTGGCTCACCTGTTATCCTAGCACTTTGGGCAGCTAAAGTGGGAGGATCACTTGAGCTCAGGAGTTAGAGACCAGTGTGGGCAACATAGTGAGACCCCATCTCATTCATAAGTAAATAAATAAACTGGCCGGGCGTGGTGTCTCATGACTCTAATCCCAGCACTTTGGGGGCCTGAGGCGGGCAGATCATGAGGTCAGGAGTTCGAGTCCAGCCTGACCAACATGATGAAACCCTGTCTCTACTAAAAATACAAAAATTAGCCAAGTATGGTGGTATGCACATGTAATCCCAGCTACTCAGGAGGCAGGGGCAGGAGAATCACTTGAATCACTGTCACCCAGGTTGGAATGCAGTGGCGTGATCTCGGCTCACTGCAACCTCTGCCTCCCAGATTCAAGCGATTCTCCTGCCTCAACCTCCCAAGTAGCTGGGACTATAGACATACATCATCACACCCAGCCAGAAATCCTCTTTTTTCGTTGTTTTTTGTTGTTTTTTTGTTTTTTTGTTTTTTTTTTGAGACGGAGTTTCACTCATGTTACCCAGCCTGGAGTGCAATGGCGCGATCTCGGCTCACCGCAACCTCCGCTTCCTGGGTTCAGGCAATTCTCCTGCCTCGGCCTCCTGAGTAGCTGGGATTACAGGCACGCACCACCATGCCCAGCTAATTTTTTTGTATTTTTAGTAGAGACGGGGTTTCACCATGTTGACCAGGATGGTCTCGATCTCTTGACCTCGTGATCCACCCGCCTCGGCCTCCCAAAGTGCTGGGATTACAGGCTTGAGCCACCACGCCCGGCCTGTTGTTTCGTTTTTTGAGACAGAGTCTCTCTGTCACCCAGGCTGGCGTACAGTGGCACGATCTCGGCTCACTGCAATTTCTGCCTCCTAAGGTTCAAGCAATTCTCCCAAGGTTCAAGCAATTCTCAGCCAGCCTGGGCAACATAGCAAGACCCCCTTTCCTTCTGTAGGACCTGTGAGTATAATCCTTTGATTTCTCCTCCCTCAGCCTCCTGAGAAATGCTCTTTTTAATGGTTACAGGATACTCCCACAAGCAACCAGCCTGGGCAACATAGCAAGACCCCATCTCCACAAAAAATTTAAAAATTAGCCAGACGTAGTGGTACAGGCTTATACTCCCAGCTACTCAGGAGGTTGAGGCTGAAGGATGACTTGAGCCCAGGAGTTCAAGGCTATGGTGAGCTCTGATCACACTTCTGCACACCAGCCTTGACACAAATGTGACCCTGACAATAAAAGAGGAAGAATATCCCTACAAGCAGATACAGCACAGTTGACTTACAGCATCCCCTGCATTTTAAACAGAAAATGTCATTCTGATTTTTACTCTTAAAAAGTAAGAGTGCATTAAATAACATTGACTATTCACAGATTTTTTTTTTCTTTTTTCCTGGACTCCGGGTGAAGAGCTGAATTTATCAAATGCCTTGGTTCATAGCATTCCATCCTCAGTCCATGCCAGCCCTCCCTACTTTGTTTTTTTTTTTTTTCTCCCACTTCACTCCAATATCCACCTCCATTTCCCACCTTCATTTCTTTCTCTACCAGAGCCAACTGCTTTAATGCATTTGACTTCTGTCCTTCGATGTGTATGTTTCTTATAAAATACGTAGTGTTGGTGTATCTGTGTGAATGAGTGAGAATTGCATTTCCATAAATAGAACTGTGCATTGTATCTCCCTCTGTTTCCTTTTCTGCTCCCTGTACTTTAAGATCTCTCTGTGGCTCTGTATACATCCAGCCCATTGCTTCCGCCTTTGCTTTTGGCAGATAGTTCTGAAGTCTTGAGAGACCTTCTAACATTTTTAGTATTTAGGATTCTTTCCTTAGACCAGATGCTCCCAAAGGAATTTCTGGCAGCGGTGGGTGTGAGCATTCTTATTTAAGGCACTGGCTTCCTGTTGCTCAGCCTTTCCTCCTCTCTGGGCAGGTAAGCCTCAGTCTGCCTCGTGCCAAAAGCACAGAGTATACCGCTTTCTCATGACTTCAGAGTGTCCCCGATAAGACTTCTGAAAGGCAGCTGCCTAGACGACACAGCCACTGGGCTCCTCTTAGACTTCCCACCAACATCTGGCTGGTTGGTTTGCTTAACAGAAAAATAGCCCACCACAGCAGCTCTCCCTCAGCCCTTTTCCTCCCCTCCTCCTGGTTGAGGCACTGGAGTTTATAACTACATTGTACATTTTTAAAACTTCAGGGCTGGGCATAGTGGCTCACGCCTATAATCCCAGCACTTTGGGAGGCTGAGGTGGGCAGATCACCTGAGGTCAGGAGTTTGAGACCAGCATGGCCAACACGGTGAAACCTGTCTCTACTAAAAATACAAAAATTAGCTGAGCATGGTGGTGCATGCCTGTAGTCCCACCTACTTGGGAGGCTGAGGCAGAAAAATCACTTGAACCCAGGAAGCAGAGGTTGTGGTGAGTCGAGAATGCACCACTGCACTCCAGCCTGGGTGACAGAGTGAGACTCCATCTCAAAAAAAAAAGACAACAAAAAAAAATTCATATTTTCCTGATGCCTCAACATCCCACAAACAGGCTATGAACACTTTGCCCAGGTGAACAGCTGCCAGTGTGATAAGGCTGGTCCCTGCCACAAGTTCCCCTTCTCGCCCTCCTCTACTGTGACCTAGTGACATTCAGACACATGAGTGAGATTCCCGTTTGCTGTGTCTTCCACCCTGAGCCCCAAAGAAGCACTTACCCATGGCTTTCCTTCTGTAGGACTTGTGAGTATAATAAATCCTTTGATTTCATATGCCTCTCTCTCAAGGACATTCTTTCTGAGTTTATAATGATCCCATCCTCATCACCAATTGTGTTGTAAAAAGGAAGTCCCCTTTGTGAGTTTTTTTTTTTGTTTTTAGAGACAGGGTTTTACTCTTTCACCCAGACTGGAGTCCAGTGATGTGATCATGGTTCACGGTAACTTTAAACTCCCAGGCTCAGGTGATCCTCCCACCTCAGCCTCCTGAGTAGCTGGGACTACAGGCATGTACCACCATACCAGCCTAATTTTCTTTTATTTTTTGTAGTGATGGGATCTTACTTTGTTGCCCATGCTGGTCTTGAACTGCTGGCCTCAAGCAATCCTCCACCTTGGCCTCCTAAAGTCCTAGGATTACAGGCATGAGCCACTGCATCCAGCCCCCTTTATGACGTCTTTAAGGATCACTCCAACACAGGCACAGAAACTATGCTCAGAGAGGCTTATGAAATTACAGGATTTACTATACTCACATGTTTAGAGAAGCAGGCATCCATGCCACACAGGGGGCCATATGGGAGGTGCTCCCAGGAAGCCACTCAACCAAGCAGGTAGGGAGAAAGGGGCAGGACAGAGGGAGGAAAGGAGAAGGGAAGACCCCAGAAGAGGACCAGAGGCTGGGTGTCATGGCTCATGCCAGTAATCCCAGTACTTTGGGAGGCCAGGCAGGCAGATTGTTTGAGCCCAGGAGTTCAAGATCAGCCTGGCCAACATGGTGAAACCCTGTCTCTGCAAAAAATACAAAAATTAGCCAGGCGTGGTGGCACACACCTGTAGTCCCAACTACTTGGGGGGCTGAGGCAGGAGGATCGCTTGAACCCTGGAGGTCAAGGCTGCAGTGAGCCAAGATCGGACCACTATACTCCAGCCAGGGCAACAAAGTAAGGCCCTGTTTCAAAAAAAAAAAAAAGAAGAGGGCCAGAAGGAGAACCTGGGCAGAGTGTTCGTAGCCTATTTGTGGGGATGTTGAGGCATCTGTAAAATATGTTTTTTAAATAAGTTTTAAATTTTTTTTTTTTTGAGACGGAGTTTCGCCCTTGTTGCCCAGGCTGAGTGCAATGGCGCGATCTCGGCTCACCGCAACCTCCGCCTCCTGGGTTCAGGCAATTCTCCTGCCTCAGCCTCCTGAGTCGCTGGGATTACAGGCATGCGCCACCACGCCCAGCTGATTTTTTTGTATTTTTAGTAGAGACGGGGTTTCACCATGTTGACCAGGATGGTCTCGATCTCTTGATCTCGTGATCCACCCGCCTCAGCCTCCCAAAGTGCTGGGATTACAGGCATGCGCCACCACGCCCAGCTGATTTTTTGTATTTTTAGTAGAGACGGAGTTTCACTATGTTGACCAGGATGGTCTCGATCTCTTGATCTCGTGATCCACCTGCCTCAGCCTCCCAAAGTGCTGGGATTACAGGCGTGAGCCACCGCGCCCGGCCCTAAATTTTTATAATACAGTAACATTTCACAAAATCATAGCATTTACTTTATCCAAACATATTTAAAATTGATTCCTTTGAGGCAACTCAAAAAATTAAATCCAACAGCATAAAAAATAGAGTTAAAGGAGAAAATTGAAATAGGATAAAACAAGCCTTGGGTGAGGACCACACCCATACCTCATGCTCCAAAGCCTTGTACTCTTGCTAGAAATGGGCTTAGTTGTGGCTCTGACTTTTTAGCAGCCAACGCACAGAGGAAAATGAGACCTGGTGCTCAGTCCACATGGGTTACAGTGAAACCAACCAGAAGCTCAGGGTGTGGCTTGAGAGCAGTTTGCCCCAAGGGCTCACACTGAAAGAATGCAATGCAAGAGATATGCCACATCTTCAAAATAAAGCACAATTCATATGCCTACAAAATCTGCTCATAGATCTTTTTCTAGTAGCACTAACATTATGGACCACCAATTTGCCCTTCCATTCAGTCATTCTGTATTTATTGAGAGCCTACTACAACAGGCCCTGTGCTGCATACTGGGGATACTGAAGTGAGAAAAACATCTGACCATCGCTGTCCTCAAGAAGCATCTTGTTAAGTGGTAGAGACAGACACCAATCACATAGATAGATGTGAAGTTACAACTCCGTGAAGTGCTTCCATGCTTCCAGAAAAGCATGGAAGAACCAGCTCAGGGTGAACCTCCACCCAGGGTGAAGCTTCTGCCCAAGCCCCTTATCCATGACAACAGCACCTGCATCGACCTAGCTCAGCTGAAACCCCAGGAGTCATCCTTGTCCCTGCCCCCTCAAGCCCTAGTTTCCAGCCCCTTCACACATCTTGCAACTCCAATTCCAGAACAGATCTGGAGGCCAGATGTGGTGGGTCACGCCTGTAATCCCAGCACTTTGGGAGGCCGAGGTGGATGGATCACCTGAAGTCAGGAGTTCGAGACCAGCCTGACCAACACAATGAACCCCTTTCTCTACTAAAAATACAAAATTAGCCAGGCATGGTAGTGCATGCCTGTAATCCAAGCTACTTGGGAGGGTGAAGCAGGAGAATCCTTGAACCCAGGAGGTAGAGGTTACAGTGAGCCAAGATTGCACCATTGTACTCCAGCCTGGAAAGTAAGAGGTAAACTCCATCTCCATCTTGGATGGGTGAAAAAAAGCAGAACAGATCTGGAATCCTTCCACTGCTCAACTTCCCCTCCATCACCCCAGACCAGGGCACCATCCCCCTCTCCTGCTCCCTGCTTCTGCTCTTGCCCTGTAGGGTCTTTCTTCTACATAGCAGCAGAGGGGTCCTCTCATGCTGTCTGATCATGTCAAACTCTGCCCTCAGCATTCCAGTACCAGCCTGTCTCTCACAGGCAGATCTAAAGACTTCCCCATGGCACTGCAGGGTCTGGCTCCCTCTTCCCTCCCATCCTCTCTCCTGACACTGTCCCCATGCTCCCTTAGCTCTGGGTTCTCAGGCCATCTGTAGTCCCTGCACACATTAACATGCACCCACCTCAGGACCTTTGCAGCTGCTCCCTTCGTTTATGACTCTGCTCCCCTGTCCTCTCCAGAGCCTTCCCTGACTACCTGTCTAAAATAGCAGCTCAACCCCTTCATTCTCTGTCTCCCTGCCCTGGTTTGCTTTTCTTAGTGCCCATTACCACCTGACGGTATATTATTTGTAACTGTTGTTTTCAAGATTCTTTCTCCTTCACTGGCCCGTGAGCTCTAGGGGAGCAGCAACTTTGCCTGATTCCTTGCTGAATCACCAGTGCCCTGCACATAGTAGGCAATCAGTCAGTATGGGCTGAATTACTGAGGGGCTGATTGTGTCATGGAAACCATGTGAGCAAAGCTTCTCTGATCTGGGTGATAAAGAAGGCTGAGTAGGGGTGGCCTCGGTGAAGAGAGAAGAGAGGAGAAAATCTCAGGCAGCAGGAGAGCTTGAACACGGCTGCCGTGTGTGGACATGTAGCACACACATCGCACTGCAGAAAGGCCAGTGTGGCTGCAGTGTGCAGTGAGAACATGTGTGAGGCCAGGCTCAGGAGACCTGTGGTGGCCACCATGAGGGCAAGAGGCCAACAGGTGGATGTGAGCTTTCAGTTTATGAGAGCAGAGGGTCGCTGCGGAGCGGCTTCCAGCAAGGGAGCGACGTGATCTGGCTGATGTTCAGCAGATTCAAAAACAGTCCTGCTTGAGAGAGGCCAGGTTCCCTACACCCCGCACAACAGCACATTTTTCCTTCCCAGTTAGAGACCATCATAGTAACACACTCAGCAGCAATGCAGCAAACATGGGGCACATGATATAGCATTTCCAAAGTCTAGAATTAACACATGACCATTGACTAGAGCCTTGTGGCAGAATATTTCTCAGTTTCACCTAACAATAAAAAGACCAAGAAGCAGCTGCCAGGAATTCTGTCATAGCTTTAGCCACCACTGCAGGAGGAGTCATCAGAAAGCAGGATGTGGAAAATGGAGTGGGACAGATGTCTTGTAACTAGCATGCTTGGGGCGTGGGTGGCCACTCTGTAGGGGCTTCCTGGATCATTAAACAGGGAGAAGGAAATGTGGAAGAGTAAGTTCTGAGGTTCCAACAGCTCTCTTGGGGCTCTGTACTGAAGACTCCCCCATCCCTTCAGAACCACTGTGCAGCATTCTGAGCACAAACATAATTGCCTCTCTCCAGATAATGGAGCCACTAAACATAAACCGACAGACCGCTTTGCAAGGTACATCGGGGGGCTTGAGGTTTCTCCCTTCTCCCCCACAGCTGCAGAAACTAGAATACCACTAGTATTGTCTGAGACTCTTCCTGACTGCCCCCTAACTCAAGAAGGGTGAAACCTCCAGAAGAGAAGCGGGGATTCTGGTTTCCTCACAGCCACTGGCAACCCTAACTTCCTGTTTCTCTTTGTATTTCTGCCTCAGATATTCTCCCAGGAGTACATCAACCTCTTGCTGTCCATGTATTTCTTCGTGCTGGGAATCCTGGCCCTGTCCCACACCATCAGGTCAGAAGGCATCTCTCTGCAACATTTGAAGCACCTTTATCGGGAGCCAGTACAGGGTCTTGGATGAGAACATGACTTTTGGCATCATTCAGAGCCAGGTTTGAATCCTGGCTGTAAAACTCAAGGGACTCTTTCCCCTGCACACTATAGATGACTAGGACAAGAATAACCTCTCTGGGCCACAGTTTCCTTATAGGAATGATGAGAATCTGGTGGCTGTTTCCACCACCACAGCTTTGGGAAAGTGATTTGCGAGCAGTAATGTTATGTTGGTTGGGACAGTACTCAGGTGAGTAACACCATTACCGCCTGCCGATGCTGTGGCCTAGCTGTGTACTAAGCACCATGCTGGGCTCCTCACACATGATGTTGCTTCAGAAGGAGCCAGAGGCAGCACAGTGAGAAGTTAGGAGTGTGGGCTCTGGAATTTGACTACCTGACTTTGAGTCCAGACACTGCCACTTAATAGCTCTGTGATCTTGGGCACGTTACTTAATCTCTCTGGCCTCAATTTCCTCATGAATGTGGAGAAAAATAATAGTAACCTTCCTGTGGGGTCATGTGGAAACCTTTTAGCACAGTATCTGGCAATTTAAAGTGTTCAATAACTATTAGCTATTAACTATTAGCTATTACTGTTATCTGTGTTAACTTGCCAGACAACTGTAAATGGGTCGCTTTGGCTTTCTTTCACACCTGTATAATAGTCAGGAAAACTGAAGCCCAGAGAGGTTAAGAAATTTGCTAGGATCACACCGCTGATAAGCAACAAAGCCAGGATTCAAACCCAGGTGTGGCTCCAGAGCCCATACTCTTCCCACTGCTATCCTAATTCAACTTGCCACACGCTCATGTCTTTTCAGTGGTGTAGGCCAGTTCATTAGAGGGGGCTGCTATTTTTATTTCGGACAGGCCAGTTCTCTGCTCTGCGGAACTATCCCACACATTACAAACAGTTGGCATCCTTGCCCTGCTTACCAAATGGGAGTTGCACACCAGTCTTCTCCAGCTTGTGACTATAAAGATGTCCCAGTATGTTTCTGTCTGCCCCCTTGAAGTGGTGCAGCCTCAGGTAGAGAACCACTGGTAGACCAAGACGTGGCCAGGGAAAGTTCCCAGAAGGAAGGAACTCAACTTGAACTTAGCTTTCTTTGAAGGGTAGGAAACCTGGAAGACATACAAAAGAGGGAGAGCCCAGGCCCTAGAAAGTTTGTCCACACTGAGGGCATAGGCAGAATCTGCTCCCCAAAGCACTGAAAGCCAATATGAGGCCGGGCGTGGTGGCTCACGCCTATAATCCCAGCACTTTGGGAGGCCAAGGCAGGTAGATCATGAGATCAGGAGATAGAGACCATCCTGGCCAACATAGTGAAACCCCATCTCTACTAAAAATACAGAAAAATTAGCCAAGTGTGGTGGCGTGCACCTGTAATCCCAGCTACTCAGTAGGCTAAGGCAGGAGAATCGCTTGAACCTGGGAGGCAGAGGTTGCAGTGAGCTGAGTTTGCGCCACTGTACCTCAGCCTAGCGATAGAATGAGACTCTGTCTCAAAAAAAAAAAAAGAAAGCCAACACGAATGTGGCATCATTCCCTCATTCTAGGCACAATGGCAGGACAGTGTGGTAGTCAGGAGCATAGGGTCAAGAGGCAGGCAATCCTGGGACCAACACCTGGCGCTGCCGGCTCTAATTTGTGTAAGTTACCCAAGCTCTGAGCATCAGTTCTTCTACCTATAAAATGGAGAGACTGCAGGTACCTCCTCAGAGGTGTGGGGAGTATCTAGTGAGCCCCAGGCGATAACATCCTTAGAGCACAGTGCCAAGCACACAGTGAGCCTGGCGGCTGGCCGAGGGTTACACAGCCACACTTCACATCTGTTATTCTAGTTGAGGTCACTGTTGTCCTCACCTGCACTGACTCTTCACCCACAAAATTTTATTCTAGCTAGCTTGAGAGAATTCTAGTCCAGCCCCCCCATGCTGAAAAGTGGAGGCCCACAGAACCTGAGTGACTGGGACACAACCAAGACAATGGCAGGCCCAGTCGCCCTTGCTCACAGGACAAACCTTTCCTTTCGCAGTGGACCTGGGGTGGGATGGGGCAGTCACTTCCAAGCACTGGGTGTCCTCCTTTCCCGTGCTGATTAGGATCTGCCCCATCTCTAGCCAATCCTACCCCAGCATCTGTGACAGGCTTGAGGCCCCCAAGTCTCCCCACAGCCCAGCCTCTGCCTCAGAAAGAACCCAGTGTGTTTTGAAAGCCACTGTTAGGCTGTGTGCTGAGGAACTGATTATTTAACATTATTGCAGCAACCCTACAATGAAGATCTTATCTCTACCCAGCTGCCCAGGCAGGGTATTTTGAACTTCTATCATCTTGACTTCAAAGACTTTTTTTTCCTTTTAGAACAATAACTAAGGGACATCGTCCCAAATTTCTTGTAGATTAATCAAGAAATAATAACTGGGCACAGTCGCTCACGCCTGTAATCCTAGCACTTTAGGAGGCCAAGGCAGGCAGATCACGAGGTCAGGAATTCAAGACCAGTCTGGCTAACATGGTGAAACCCCCTCTCTACTAAAAATACAAAAATTAGTCGGGCATGGTGGCACATGCCCAGCTACTCAGGAAGAATCGCCTGAACCTGGGAAGCAGCGGTTGCAGTGAGCCGAGATCATACCATTGCACTCCAGCCTGGGCAACAGAGTGAGACTCCATCTGAAAAATAAAATTAGCCAGGCATGGTAGCACATGCCTATAGTCCCACTCGGGAGGCTAAGGCAGGAGAATCGCTTGAACCTGGAGGCAGAGGTTGTAGTAAGCCAAGATCGCGCCATTGCACTCCAGCCTGGGTGGCAGAGCAAGACTCCGTCTCAAAAAAGAAAAAGAATAAGAATAATTGAGGTTGGGCATGGTGACTCATACCTGTAATCCCATTACTTTGGGAGGCCAAGGCAAGTGGATCATCTGAGGTCAGGACTTCAAGACCATCCTGGGCAACACGGTGAAAGCCCACCTCTAATAAAAATACAAAAAAGTAGGCTGGGCACAGTGGCTCATGCCTGTAATCCTAACGCTTTGGGAGGCTAAGCTGGGCGGATCACCTGAGGTTGGGAGTTCGAGACCAGCCTCACCAACATGGAGAAACCCTGTCTCTGCTAAAAATTCAAAATTAGCCTGGCATGGTGGTGCATGCCTATAATCCCAGCTACTCGGGAGGCTGAGGCAGGAGAATCCCTTGAACTTGGGAGGCGGAGGTTGCAGTGAACCAACATCACGCCATTGCACTCCAGCCTGGGCAACAAGAGCGAAACTCTGTCTTAAAAATATATGTATATAACAAAAAAGTAGCTGGCTGTGATGCCGAGTCCCTGTAATCCTGGCTACTCAGGAGGCTGAGGCAGGAGAATCGCTTGAACCCGGGAGGTGAAGGTCGCAGTGAGTTGAGATAGCACCACTGCATTCCAGCCTGGATGACAGAGGGAGACTCCATCTACAGAAGAAAAGAAAAGAAATAATTGATTGCCTATCTGTCTTTTAGCTACTTCATAATTTTTAGACATAGATATTATCAACAGAAAATAAAACCAACAACAGCTAAAACTACACATGGTAAAATGTATGGGTGACTAGAAACCAACAGAAGAATCATTTTCTTAATGAAATTTAGAGCAACAAAATTTGACCTAGGAAAACCATACCTTTTAAAAATAATGGATCTGCCGGGCATGGTGGCTGACACCTGTTATCCCAATATTTTGGGAGGCTGAGGCGAGCGGATCACCTGAGCTCAGGAGTTTGAGACCAGCCTGGACAACATGTTGAGACCCTGTCTCCACAAAAAATGCAAAAATTAGCCAGATACGGTGGTGCATGCCTGTGGTCCCAGCTACTCGGGAGGCTGAGGTGGGATGATTGCTTGAGCCTGGGAGGCAGAGGTTGCAGTGAGCTGTGATCATGCCACTCCAGCCTAGGTAACAGAGTGAGACCCCATCTCAAAAATAAAAAAATAAAAATAATGGCTAGCCATAGGCAGAAGGGATGCTCACCATATAGGGTTAAAGCTGGTCCACTAAAAAATTTGATGGGGACTAAAAAGTGTCAGATGAAGGAAACTGTTACTGTAAAATTTACATGGAAAAGAGCTGAATCCAATGAAAAGAGTTTTATAAGGTAGGGAATGATTTGATTGTGCTTTTTAGAAAGTTGGTCCACTAATTAAATTTATGTTTCTTCTTCAATTAAATTGAGTTTTCTTACATATTTTCTCAAGGAAAGTCTACAGTGTTGTTAGAATTTTGATCAGCTGCCTGTATCCACAAACTTAGACCTTCCTCGGGATCCAAACAACAGATCCAAAGGTTTAAGACAGGGAAATTGAGGCTCAGAAGGTTATGTGACCACCAGGATTCACAGCTGGTAAAGGCACAGTGAGGTTTTGAGCTCAGGTATGTCTGACTCCAAAACCACTATTCCTTACATTTTGGCAAAAGTGAAGGCGGGGGGGCTTAGAGAGGGTAGGCTGGCCACCTCCTGTCATTGAACCTGTGGTCTCCCGGGGATTGGCAGCGGAGAGGCCTGCTGAAAGGCTGCAGAGAGCTGCACCTGAGCTGTGTCAGCACGGGCCAAGGTTCTCTTAGGATTCCTTCCACCTCCACTGCCACCTCCTAGCCCACTTTAAGCCTCTTTGGGAACAAACCCCAGCCTCCGGTATTGGAGGAAGGCAGGGGCCATAGCCTGCCTTACCTTGTAAAGTCACCAAGATTCAAACCCAAGACATCCTTCCTGCAAAGGGAACCTTGGCTTACTTCATCATCTGTGTCTGAGCTCATGCCCCACCCAGCTGACCTTAGAGGGAAAAAAGGGCCAGATCTGCCACCCCAGAGGAGGAAGCAATGTCACCAGTTTCACTCACCCTACCTTCCACACCCAGGGGAGAAGGGCACCAGGATGTGGTTTGTCAGTGGGAAGCAATGACCTTTACGTTTGACATGAGCCACTGAGGGCCAGGAAGAATCCGCCTGCTACAAGTCTGCATTCAGAGTCATTCAGCAAGCATTTAGCAAATGTCTAGCAGGCACCAGGCATCTTCACCTCAAGGTGGGATGAAGATGATGAGACATCTGCTCTCATGTCCACAGACTTGCGTTAGCCAGGTCGCCTGACTCTTAGTGCTAAGCAGCCCCTCTTTTCTCAGAATAACAAAGATGTCAATCTAGAGGCTTGCTACTTGGAGTTGAAGCTGCAGTTACATTTATAGGTTGCTGATTTAATTATCTCAGTAGCCCTTCGAGAAAGGTATTGTGGCATTCCAGATGGGGAAACAGCTGCACAGAGCAGTTAAGTAACTTTCTCCCAAGAGCAGACCACTAATAAGGGCAGAGTTAGGATCTGAGCCCAGGAAGTCTGGCTCCAGAGTCCATGTCCTTAATTGTCACACTCTGCTGGTTGAGAAACTGAGCACCAAGCTCCTAAGGAAGAGACCAACTAAGCTGGGAAAAGGGCTTAGCTCTTCAGGCTGCCCCTCTGCCTCCATCTATACTTGCACTCACACCCTGGCTTCAGACTCCTCCAAAACTGATGCGGCAAACTAATCTGAAAGTTCTTCCAGTCAGCCACCCAGCTTCTGCCTCCCACCGCCTTAGAGCCCTGCTGTGGGAGCCCATTTCTGATTCTGCCCTTGCACCAGCTGCACCTCTGTTCACAAAGCCCTCCCATCATTCATGCCACAGCCCTACAGGCTGGGAGGGATCAGCTCTTTGACAAGGAGAGAAATGGAGGCCCAAAGATGGTTCCTTTTTTTTTTTTTTTGAGATGGAGTCTCACTGTCTTGCCTAGGCAGGAATGCAATGGCACAATCTTGGCTCACTGCAACCTCCCCCTCCTGGGTTCAAGCGATTCTCCTGTGTCAGCCTGCCAAGTAGCTGGGATTACAAACATGTATTATCATGCCCAGCTATTTTTTTCTATATTTTTAGTAGAGACTGGGTTTCACCATGTTGGCCAGGATGGTCTCAATCTTCTGACCTTGTGATCTGCCCGCGTCAGCCTCCCAAAGTGCTGGGATTACAGGCATGAGCCACTGCACCCGGCTGCCTGGCTAATTTTTGTATTTTTTCAGCAGAGATGAGGTTTCACCATGTTGGCCAGGCTGGTCTCCAACTCCTGACCTTAAGTGATCTACGCACCTCAGCCTCCCAGATGTTGGGATTATAGGCATGAGCCACAAAGCCTGGCCAGAAATGACTCTTGAATCTATACCTTGCTCCATGCCACCAGCATCTTTAGAAGAGAGTTCCTTTTCCCTCCCTTTATCACTGTGACCTGAGTACCTCCTGGCCTGCCTCATCCCTGCTAAAGACCCCATGCCAGGCAAACCATTCATCCTGCCTTCTTTCATATATTCATAGCAATGCTCTGAGATGGGTGGTAATGTTAGCCCTATTTACAGGTGAGAAGATTGAGGTCCAGGGAGACAGAGCCACTGAAATGGCTCTCCCACAGCCACATGGCAGAGCAGCCCTCAGGGCTGGGCCACCCAGGCTTGTAGCCACTCCACAGTACTACCACCAGGCTGGGTCAAGAGGCCCTGGTCGGCTAATCTTGCTCTGAAGAAGGTCCAGAAAAGGTCTCCACTTCCTGCCTGGTTAGGAGGTGGGGCATGCTGGGTAATCAGAGAATGGAGGCCAAGCTAGTCTTAAACAACAGAGAGGACTTGTGGAAGGAGTGAATGTGATGGTGATCCTGCCCAGGGGCTATGATTCATCTGGCCGATTGATTCCAGCTGAGTGCAAAAATCTCAGGCCTGTTGGAGAACAGAATGTCAAGTCATGAAGTAGGGTGGGGGTGACTGTCGGGTCATCTAACTTGATAGGTCTGAAAGGGAATCCACAAATATGCTTCTTGACAGGGGACTCATAGGTGGCATGTGGGCCAGACTCCTCTGCTCTCCCAAAAATGGTATTTTGCCTGAAAGTCTATCTACTTCTGCTTTGCATTTCTTTGATGTTAACAAAAAGGCGGTACAGAAATCACTAGGAGTGCAAAGACCTAGGTTTGAGTCTCAGCTGAGTTATAGGCCCCCAGTGTGACTCTGGGCAAGTCACTTACCTTTTGAGAACCTGGGTTTCCACATCTGTAGAGTGGAAACAATAACACCTGTCTATCAGGACAGCTTCAAGGGTGCCAGCTATAAATGGGGTAGGGGAGTGTTAAGGTTGACTACCCATGGGGGCTCTGTTTGCCAACTTGCTTTGTCTTTCCTTCCAGCCCCTTCATGAATAAGTTTTTTCCAGCCAGCTTTCCAAATCGACAGTACCAGCTGCTCTTCACACAGGGTTCTGGGGAAAACAAGGAAGGTCAGTGCTGCCCACCTTTCCGTAGTGTGCCTTGGGTGTCTTCCTCTGCCATTCCCTTTGTCTCTCCATTACTGGGGATCTCCAATAGAGCAAGTGATGGAAGAAGTGGGCTCTGAAATCTCATGGCCTGGATTCACATCCCAACTCTGCTGCTGCCTAGACGTGGGACCCTGGGTGAATGCCTTACCTCTCTGAGCATTGGGTGTTTTTGTTGGGGTTTTTTTTCCCCCATCTGTAAAATGAAAGTGTTAATCTAGTACCTCCTTTACGGTCGGTCACGTTGTAAAGATGGCAAGTCAATGATAAGTGGAAATCATTCAGCACGCTGCTTGGCTCATAGTGAGCACTCAGTAAAACTTGGCCTTTGTGACTATTTTATTTGTGTGTATTTTTAGTGTGATCACTGCCTCACCTAAGGTTTGAAAAGGGGGTTCCACAGCTCTTTTTCAAAAATAAAAACTGGCCAGACACAGTGTCTCATGCCTACAATCACAGGACTTTGGGAGGCCAAGACAGGATGATCACTTGTGACCCGGAATTTGAGACCAGCCTGGGCAACATAGTAAGACCTCATCTCTACAAAAAAATTAATTAAAAAAAAAAAAAATGCAAACTGTGGGGAATTGTGGAGATCTGGGATTTGCAGATTAATTAGGGTATGGATTCAAATGCTGTAACAAGATTATTAGTAGTTTGACCAAAGAGCAGGTATTTCTTTCTTTCTTTCTTTTTTTTTTTTTGAGTCTGAGTCTCGCTCTGCCACCCAGGGTGGAGTGCAGTGGCACGATCTTAGCTCACTACCACCTCAGCCAACTAAGTAGTTGGGATTACAGGGGTGTGCCACCACACCTAGCTCATTTTTTTGTATTTTTAGTAGAGATAGGGTTTTGCTATGTTGGCCAGGCTGGTTTCAAACTCCTGACCTCAAGTGATCCACCCACCTCACCACCTCAGCCTCCAAAGCGCTGAGATTACAGGCATGAGCCACCCTGCCCAGCAGGTATTTCTCTTGTGTAAAATACTAAGCCTGTGGAATATAGCACTCTTGCTTACTGGTGCCTAGCACCTTCTGCTGTGTCCCTAACAGCAATTTTATGATTGCTTTGTGCATCTCTGAGGAACCTGTCAAATAAACTTTTTTTTTTTTTTTAAGGATAAGCTTGGGCTGGGTGAGGTGGCTCACACCTGTAATCTCAGCACTTTGGGAGATTGAAGCAGGCAGATGACTTGAGGTTAGGGGTTCGAGACCAGCCCCTGGCCATTGTAGGGAAACCCGGTCTCTACTAAAAATACAAAAAAATTAGCCAGGGTGGTGCGTGCCTACAATCCCAGCTACTCGGGAGGCTGAGGCAGGAGAATCGCTTGAACCTGGGAAGGTGGAGGTTGCAGTAAGCCGAGATGGCGCCACTGCACTCCAACCTGGGCAACAGAGTGAGACCCTGTCTCAAAAACAAAACAAAAAATACTAAGGTTGGCCAGACACGGTGGTTCACTCCTGTAATCCCAACACTTTGAGAGGCTGACGCAGGAGGGTCACTTCAGCCCTGGAGTTCAAGGCTGCAGTAAGACACGGTCACAACACTGCACTCCAGCCTAGGCAACAGAGCAAGAGCCTGTCTAAAAAAATAAATAAATAAAATAGTAAAACAGCTAAGCTTGTACCACAGAGTCTTCAAGGTCCCAGGCCCCATCTATCTCATGCTCCGCCATATCCAGTGCTGGCCCTCGGATCAGAATGGTGTCATCACTCCACTGTCCACCCAGAGGGAAGGCGAGACATCCATATCCCCGGTCCATTTAGCTATGAGAAGCTGGAAAACGGCTGTGAGTCGGCCTCCTGTCCAGTTAGAACTAACTCAGGTTGCGCACCTCCAGTCTCCTCTTCCGGCAGGAAGAAAGCATTCCTATCACTTCCTGCTTCTCAAGCCCTACTGTTTCAGCGATCCTCATTGGAGGAATCAGCAGTCGAAAGAAGAGCAGGCCAAGCACTCTCGTGACGTGGCTTTCAGAGAGCGGAAGTTGTCACATTTCACCGAGCCGTAAAGCGCGCTGGCTGTGTCATCTTCCGGTTAGCGACAACGGCTCTGACCGTCCGACAGTCCGCGTGGCGCCCGCACCGGCCTTCCTGCGGCGGACTCTGCCGGAGCCTTCCAGATTCCGTTTGTTTCCCTGTTGTCGCACGCTTCACCCTGGATCATGTTCAAGAAGTTTGATGAAAAGGAAAGTGTGTCCAACTGCATCCAGTTGAAAACGTCAGTTATTAAGGGCATTAAGAGCCAACTGATAGAGCAATTTCCAGGCATTGAACCATGGCTTAATCAAATCATGCCTAAGAAAGATCCTGTCAAAATAGTCCGATGCCACGAACATACAGAAATCCTTACCGTAAGTGGGGAATTATTGTTTTTTAGACAAAGAAAGGGGCCTTTTTGTCCAACTCTAAGGTTGCTTCACAAATACCCTTTTATCCTGCCACACCAGCAGGTTGATAAAGGAGCTATCAAATTTGTACTCAGCGGAGCAAATATTATGTGTCCAGGTTTAACTTCTCCTGGAGCTAAGCTGTACCCTGCTGCAGTAGATACGATTGTTGCAGTCACAGCGGAAGGAAAACAGCATGCTCTGTGTGTTGGGGTCATGAAGATGTCTACAGAAGACATTGAGAAAATCAACAAAGGAATTGGCATTGAAAACATTCATTATTTAAATGATGGGCTGTGGCACATGAAGACATATAAATGAGCCTCAGAAGGAATGCGTTTGGGGGACTAAATGTGGATATTGATTGTGCTGTATGTGTGTTTGTGTCTGTGTGTAACAGCGTGAAAACACCGCCTCTGTGGTTATACTAAATAAGTTTAACAGATACTTTAAAGAAAACAAATCAGGATGCTGTTACCACAGAGGAAAAAACAAATTAGGGGACAAGCAGCAAGCAGTCGGCTACACTCTGGAATCTGAAAGCAGTGGCTGGACCCTGTGACTCTCAAGCTCCACAGCCTCTCTTGTCCTCTTTTTAGGAAGCTTGGAAGCAAACAAGAATATTCTAACATCAGGATGTTTACCACAAGGCCCCCCACAAAAGCAGCCTTGGGGACTCCCGCCTTTCCTTAAGACCTGCATCTCTTAGCTTCTTCACTGTCTGCTAATGAACTAAGGCTGCCGCTAACCTTCTTCATCCCTTTGGTGGCAAAGTAGAAAGATTCCAGAATTAACTCAGACTTTCTTTTAGACCTGGGCTCAGTGGCAGTTGACACTAACTGAGCACCTGCTATGTGCCAGGCACTGTGCTGAATGCATTGTAAGGACTTTCTTATTCCCCACAGGAGCCCTAAGAGGGGGTGCTATTATCCCCTCTTTACAGACAAAGAAACCGAAGCTCAGAGAGGGAACTGCCTCCCTCAGGGTCACCCAGCTACAAGTGACAAAGCCTGTGCTTCTAACACCAAAGACCACTTCCCACTGACCCTGTGCCAGGCTTGAATTCTCTCTGGGCCTCCGTTCCCTCCTCTAGGAAATTGGAGGGCTTGGGGTGGCTCCAGTGAGCTCTCCCCTTCCTAAAATTCCTACCAATGTGGGGCAGCCAAGGCTTAGCCCCCCAGCCTGTGAACCCCTGACAGTGCCCACAGCCATGCCCTCCTCCGTCCAGGGGCTGACAGGTGGGAGGGGCAGCCCCGCCCTGGGGAGTGGACTTACCCAGCCTCTCTGCTCAGAAATCGTCAATTATGAATTTGACACCAAGGACCTGGTATGCCTGGGCCTGAGCAGCATCGTTGGCGTCTGGTACCTGCTGAGGAAGGTGAGTAGCCAGGGCCTGGGCAAAAGGGGAGGATGGGGTTGACAGGGCAGGGTGGGGCACAGCAAGCCGGTCTCATTCCCCGTTTTCCTCAGCACTGGATTGCCAACAACCTTTTTGGCCTGGCCTTCTCCCTTAATGGAGTAGAGCTCCTGCACCTCAACAATGTCAGCACTGGCTGCATCCTGCTGGGCGGACTCTTCATCTATGATGTCTTCTGGGTGAGTCAGGCAGGGATGCCAAGGATGTCTAGCTCCAGGGCTGTCTCACCTTCCTACTACCCTGCCTCTCTGGCCCAAGTGCCAGTCATCTGATGGAGAGCAGCTGTTTGGGGCTGAAGGTTCAGACCCCAGAGTCCTCTCTGGGTCCATCTGTGAAATGGAGCCAGAGAGAACAGATTCCACCTCTTTCTGGGAACACACTCCATCCACCTGTTTGTCTTCCTTGCTAGCAGCTCCCTCAGCAAGGGAGTTGAGACTCAGAGAAGTTCAGGTAGGGGTGGAAGAATGTTGATGAATGGGCCCAGAAAGGGCATTGACCTGGGAAGACAGAGACCAGCTGTGCTCAGCTGCACACCAGCCCTGGCCTGTGATGCCTCTCACATTCACTCTGAGAGGCATCACGGAGGGACTGAGGTCAGCCTAACTCAGGCACTGTTTCCCTGGCCCCAGGCAGCCTCTTGCCCTCTTGAGTGGGTGGCGCTAGGGGACTTTATCACTTGAGAGGAACAGAACCATGAACAAACATAGCCTGCCTGGCTTGGGCCATCAGAGGTTCTTTCTATACTCCCTCAAAATTCCCCTCTTTGTTTCCCAGAACCAGTATCAGTGGCTACCTCACCCCAACTTCAGATCTGCACTGGAGCCCCTCCCAGCTCTCTGCCCCACTCCCACTAGGTCTTAGGCAGCAGCACATCTAGAAGCCCAGGGACAGCCATTCTTTCCCCCCAGCCCCTCACTTCCCTTCAAACTACTCTTCTCTCCTTCTAGGTATTTGGCACCAATGTGATGGTGACAGTGGCCAAGTCCTTCGAGGCACCAATAAAATGTAAGTGACTGCCTCACCACAGGGAACCCCTTCCCCCACCCTCACCGGGCCTTGCCCTCACAGTTCCTGTTTCAGTCAGTGCATCTCCCTATCTCTTTCCCATGTCCCTCTTCCTCCTGTGGCTCTCCAGCCTGGTTTCCCTTTCCTCATTGATTCATCTGGCTGCGTTCATCCTTCTCAGGCCTGGCCTCTGGCCACTTGGTCGTGGTGCACATGATGTGAAATGAGCCAAAATGGGAGCAGGCATGGAGAGGAAGTGTTTAACCCAGCCTGGGGGTTGCGGGGTGCATGCAGAGGCTTTCCGGGAGAGGAAACCTCTAACCCGAGACCTGTAGCACCCCTCACTGGGATCCCCTCAGAGTGTCTGTGCTGTCTATTCCGTGCCTCTCAAACTGCCTTGGTTTTGTTCTTCAGTGTATCCATTGTTTATAAGTAATAGAAAATCCACTGATAGATTGAGCATCTCTAATTCGAAAATCTGAAATCGAAAATGCTCCAGGACCCAAAACTTTTTGAGCACTGACATGACATCACAAGTGGAAAATTCCACACATAAGGACTTAACATGAACTGTGTTTCATTCAGAAAATTATTTTTAATTATTGTAAAACTCTTTAGGAGGCTGAGGCAGGAGGATCACTTGACACCAGCAGTTCAGGACCAGCCTGGGTAACAGCAAGACCCTGTTCCTACAAAAAATTTAAAATATTAGCTAGGCATGGTGACACACACCTGTAGTCCTAGCTACTTGGGAGGCTGAGGCAAGAGGATCACTTGAGTCTGGGAGTTTCAGGCCAAAGTGAGCTATGATCATGTCCATTTAAACTTGGGTTCTGTCCCCAAAATATTTCATTATGTATATGCAAATATTCCAGAATTCAAAAAAGGTCTGAAACATTTCTGGTTGAACCATTTCAAATATGGGTTACTCAACCCGTATAACTCTTTAAATACGGGGGAAATTTTGTCATCTTACACTACAGCAAGCCCGGGGTAGAAGGCTCAGAGTGGCTTAATGGCACTCTCTTCACAAAGAGTCAAGGTTACGTCAGTGCTCCCACCCCAGCATTCTCAGCATGTCCACCGCCCCCCTTAGGTCATCCCTTCATGGTGCCAAGACGGCTGCCACAGTTCCTAGCACTGACTCCTCACATAGCCGTGTCCAGAAAAATAAAAGGGAAATTATGTCTCAGGGAGAGATGGTTTTTCCCAAATCTCCCGTGCAGCCTCCCTCATACTTTGTTGGCCAAAACTGGGTTACAGGCCCAAGTCTAAACCATTCATCAGTGACGGGATAGGAAAGCATGATTGGCTTAGAGTTTAAGCTTTAGACTAGCGGAGAATCACCTCCTGGGATTACAAGGCTCAAAGAGGGGAACAGAATCCATCAGGCATTCTAGCAAGGAAGCGAGGAAGATGCTGCGGGGGACAGGCAGCAGCAAGTGCATGCCGTGGAAGCACTGGCTCGTGGCGACAGGCAGTCATGGGGGGAGATTTGGGGAGATTCCACTCAGGGAATCAAGAAATAGCTGTCATTTTTTTTTTTTTTTTTTTTTTTTTTTTTTTTTTTTGGATGGAGTTTCGCTCTTGTTACCCAGGCTGGAGTGCAATGGTGCGATCTCGGTTCACCGCAACCTCCGCCTCCTGGGTTCAGGCAATTCTCCTGCCCCAGCCTCCTGAGTCGCTGGGATTACAGACATGCGCCACCATGCCCAGCTAATTTTTTGTATTTTTAGTAGAGACGGGGTTTCACCATTTTGACCAGGATGGTCTCGATCTCTTGACCTTGTGATCCACCCGCCTCGGCCTCCCAAAGTGCGGGGATTACAGGCTTGAGCCACCGCGCCCGGCCTGAAATAGCTGTCTTTCTTGTGATTCATTCCACCACTGCAGACAGGCTTGCTCCCTGCACTGGGGAGAGCTTCATGGCCACAAACAGCTCCTAAATTCTGTGGTGCCAGCTTAGTGACCCCAGAGGAAAACCGGTTTCTCCCAGAATAAACCTACAAGTCCTGGCCTGGCCCATGAGCCAGACACTTACACTGGAGAGATAGAGGATCGTGATGGACAGGCTAGGGACACTGCCCACTCCAGTGCTTGGGGGCAGAGTATTAGAATTGGCAGCCTCCCAGAACGAAGTGTGCAAAGGGAGGGCAGTTCTCCAGAGCCAGGGAATAGATGCTGAGCCAGCCGGAGCAACAGCTATTCCCCACATGCCTTGATGGATGAGCCCAGGGGTGCGGAAGCCCAGACAACCCAGCCAGTGTGTTAGGAAAATCTTTTCTGAGTCATGAAGGATGAATACACATTTCCCAAGCATGCGGGGGCAATATGGCATTTGAAAGATAGTGTACAGCTTCAGCAAAGGGCTGCAAGCAGGAAGGTGCATGGAGAGTCCTGGGAGCAGAGAATCAGGGAGTGGGTGTAGCTGAGTGCAGTGGAAAGAGGTGGGCAGAGGCCAGATTTGGGAAGCCAACGATTCCACTGCAGGGAGCTTGGACAGTGCCCTGCAGGCCATTGGAAGGCTCGGAGCAGGGAAGTGGTACTGTCATATTTGGTTTCTGATATGTAGGGTCTGGTTTTCTGGGCTAGAGAGAAGACCCACTGCCTTCTCCTGCTATGACTAGAGCTCAGTGGTAGAAAGGCAGAACAGTGAAGTGCACATATGCTGAAGTCAGTCTGCTGGGACTTGAATCTCAGCTCTGCCACTTGCTGACTGCATGGCCTTGGGGAGGAGACTTGTCCTCTCTGAACCCTGGTTTCTAGAACTGTAAAATGGAGACAGTAGTCTCTGCCACATCGAATTGAATGGTACCAGGATTGAGAGAAGAAATCTGTTAATCACTGTGCATTGTGCATTAAAGGCAGGAAGAGGCAGGCAGGGCAAGGGTACCTATCCATGTATTAGAGAACCACAAGCTTTACCCAGAACCCCTGTGCACCTCTGTGTACATATTGTCAGCCAGATGGAGGTTGCAGTGAGCCAAGATCGCACCACTGCACTCCAGCCTTGGTGACAGAGTGAGGCTCCATCTAAAAATATATATATATTTATATATATATGATAAAAACTTTTTTAATGGCTGGCGTGGTGGCTCACGCCTGTAATCCCAGCAGGCGTGGATTTGTACACACTGTTTGCTACCCCATAGTAGCAGTTGGGAGGCCGAGGCAGGCAGTTCGCGAGGTCCGGTGATTGAGATCATTCTGGGCAACACAGTGAAACCCCATCTCTACTAAATATACAAAAAAAATTAGCCAGGTGTGGTGGCAGGCACCTGTAATCCCAGCTACTGGGAGGCTGAGGCAGGAGAATCACTTGAACTCGAGAGGTGGAGGCTGCAGTGAGCCGAGATCACGCTACTGCACTCTAGCCTGGGTGACAGAGCAAGACTCCATCTCAAAAAAATTTTTTTCCTGTAATCCCAGCACTTTGGGAGGCCGAGGCGGGTGGATCACGAGGTCAAGAGATCGAGACCATCCTGGTCAACATGGTGAAACCCCGTCTCTACTAAAAATACAAAAAATTAGCTGGGCATGGTGGTGCGTGCCTGTAATCCCAGCTACTCAGGAGGCTGAGGCAGGAGAATTGCCTGAACCCAGTAGGCGGAGGTTGCGGTGAGCCGAGATCGCGCCATTGCACTCCAGCCTGGGTAACAAGAGCGAAACTCCGTCTCAAAAAAAAAAAAAAAAAAAAAATTTTTTAAATATTGTTGGCCAGAGCTGACCCCCTACCTACCTGCAAGAGAAGTAAGGAATTCAAGGAACAAGATTTTCCTGATTGGCTTAGTCTTGCACCACGCTTGACCTGTCACCTGGAAAGGCTGCCTCACTCAAAACAAGGACTGGGTTAGTAAAGAAGGCCCGGAGTGGCAGTTAACAGTGTGTACAATCATCTGATTTCACTACCACCCTGAGGGGTCGGTCCCATTGTCCCCCCATTTCACAGGTGACAAAACTTCAGCAGATAAGTAAGCTGTGCAGAGCACAGAGCTAGGCCTCCAACCTGCAGGTCTGACGCCAAAGCCCACTTGTGACTGCTCTTCTGATGAAGTGCAGTTATAGCCTTTTGCTATAACTAGACACAGGGAGGCGTTTCTCCCTAATCTGCTGTATTTATCCAAACAAGCTGTCCAGCAAGATTTCTTAGTGAGGGTGTTTTTTTGTTTTTTTGTTTTTTTTGAGACAGAATCTCACTCTGTCCCACAGGCTGTACAGTGGTGTGATATCAGCTCACTGCAATCTCCACCTCCCGGGTTCAAGCAATTCTCCTGCCTCAGCCTGCTGAGTAGCTGGGATTACAGGTGCGCACCACCATGCCCAGCTAATTTCTGTATTTTTTAGTAGAGATGGCGTTTCACCATGTTGGTCAGGCTGGTCTCAAACTCCTGACCTCTATCCTCCTCAGCCTCCCAAAGTGCTGGGATTATAGGCATGAGCCACCACGCCCAGCAGAGTCAGGAATTTTAAGGAAGGAATCTGCAGGTATGTGGCCTTTTCTCCCTCAGCAAATACAGAAGGCGTTTATAGCCCAGGCTCACCCTGCGTCAGAACAACGGCCACCATCTGTCCATACCTCTGTTACAGTGAGATGCGAAGCCTTTTAGATATCAGCACTGTGTGGCTCTTTTCTTTTATACACTGGGCTTTAGGGTAAATCCCATTTAACCAAAGGCTTCTGTAGCTATAAAAAGGCATTGAAATAGGCCGGGCGCGGTGGCTCACGCCTGTAATCCCAGCACTTTGGGAGGCCGAGGCGGGTGGATCACGAGGTCAAGAGATCGAGACCATCCTGGTCAACATAGTGAAACCCCGTCTCTACTAAAAATACAAAAAATCAGCTGGGCATGGTGGCGCGTGCCTGTAATCGCAGCTACTCAGGAGGCTGAGGCAGGAGAATTGCCTGAACCCAGGAGGCGGAGGTTGCGGTGAGCTGAGATTGCGCCATTGCACTCCAGCCTGGACAACAAGAGCGAAACTCCGTCTCAAAAAAAAAAAAAAAAAAAAAAAAGACATTGAAATTAATATGGTTATTTGGTTATAGCTCAGTAAAGGCATTAAACCTTCACCCTAGATGACCCCAGATTCCTCCCCACTCTAACCAGCTGTGACTCCAGATCGAGGCATTGCCCTGCATCCTCTTACCTCCTCATCCCCCACCTCCTACCCAGAAACATAAATGTGTGAGTTTCATACAACAAGAATGGGGAGTTAGAAGTCAAAGCAAGCTGGGAATACAAAAATGGGGCGGGTGCCTGTAGTCCCAGCTGCTCAGGAGGCAGGAGAATCACTTGAGCCTGGGAGGCAGAGGTTGCAGTGGGCAGAGATGAGGCCCTTGCACTCCCAATTGCAGTCCTCATTGCACTAGGCAATAGAGCAAGACCCTGTCTCAAAAATAAATAAATAAAGTAAGCTGGGCTCCAGCTGATTCCTCACATCCGTGCCTCCCCCTACAGTGGTGTTTCCTCAGGATCTGCTGGAGAAAGGCCTCGAAGCGGACAACTTTGCCATGCTGGGACTTGGAGATATTGTGATTCCAGGTGAGCCTGCTGGGGTGGGGGCCATGTGCAAGGGGTGGAGAGGGTATTCCCTGGAGCAGGGGGGTTACCGCTAAACAGACAGGCTTACCAGCTGAGAAATGAGGCTGGATCAGGCCAGGGTTTGGTGAAGGGTTCCACCTTAACATGCATTTATGGAGTGCCAGTCGGGTGCCATGCCCCAGGCTAGGCCCTGGTCAGGCATCAGTGAACAAGACTGTCCTCGCAGATCCTCTGGTCCAGGTGAACAGATGTTACTCAGGAACTACAAAAGTAAAAGTCTAATAACAGAGGTACACTCTGAAAAAGCACGTTTCATGACAGTCTTAATGGACTGGACCCCTCTCACACATACCGACACATACCGACACATACACATACGCCTTCCCCAGCGTCTGCAAGCATCACAGGTGTACCAGAATTGCCATAGCCACGTGGCTCCTCCTCCCTGTGCTGAGACGTCTCCAGGGAGAACACACACATGGGCTCCTGTGTCTGCACTCTGGGCAGAGGAGCATGTGCATGCACACCTGCTTGTCTGCAGAAGCTGGCCTTTGAGCCCCTGGATCTACATGTGGATTCTAGCCAGTGTGTCTGTGGGTATGGACACAGGGGCCCCGTCCACAGTCCAAGCAGGAAAGCATGTCCCGTGTACCCACAGCCTGTCCTCACTTTGGGGCAGGAGCAGCTCAAACTACCAGCCAAGAAAGAGACTAAGGGTAAAGCTGAGCAGCCACTCTGAAGGCAGCTGAAGTGGCTGAGGCTTGGGTGCTCTGTGTCTGCTCATCTGGGCCCAGTAGTGGGGGCAGTGAACCCTAGGAACATACTTGTCTTCCTAGTCTCAGAGTCAGAGAGTTAGAAACTTGCTTAAAAGAAGAAGCTTTTTGCAGATGGAGCCAGTGTAGGAAAAAAAAAAGAAGAAGAAGAAGGTTTTGGCTGGGCACAGTGGCTCACACCTGTAATCTCAACACTTTGGGAGGCTGACTCGGGGATTGCTTGAGGCCAGTTCAACACCAGTCTGGACAACATAACAAGAACTCATCTCTACCAAAAAAAAAAAAAAGCCAGTTGTGTTGGCTAATGCCTTTAGTCCCAGCTACTCTGGAGACTCAGGTAGGAGGATCGCTTGAGCCCAGGAGTTCAAGGCTGCAGTGAGCTATGATTGTGCCACTGCACTTCAGCCTGGGTGACAGAGTGACACCCTGTCTCTTTTCTTCTTCTTCTTTTTTTTTTTTTTTTTGAGATGGAGTCTTGTTCTGTCACCCAGGCTAGAGTACAGTGGCATGATCTCAGCTCACTGCAACCTCCGCCTCCTGGGTTCAAGCCATTCTCCTGCCTCAGCCTCCCCGGAAGCTAGGATTACAGGTGCACACCACCACACCCAGCTAATTTTTGTATTTTTAGGAGAGACAGGGTTTCACCATGTTGGCCAGGCTGGTCTTGAACTCCTGACTTCGTGATCCACCCGCCTCAGCCTCCCAAAGTGCTGGGATTACAGGCATGAGCCGCTGTGCCCAACTGCAACCCTGTCTCTTAAAGAAAGTTTGGTCTGGGCAACATAGACCCCATCTCACTGCAGCAGTGATTTTGCCTACTCCTGCATTGCCCATGGTGTCTGGTATATAGGCACTTGATAAGCATTTGGGCAGACACACAGTGTGACGTAGTATGGTACTATGAGGTGCCAGCACCATACTATGTCTATCTCTATATATAGATATGGATATAGTTTGGGGGTTTTTTTGTTGTTGGTTTTTTTTTTTTTTTTTTTTTTTTTTGAGACAAGAGTCTCGCTTTGTCACCCAGGCTGCTGGAATGCAGTGATGCCATCTTGGCTCACCACAACCTCCGCCTCCAAGGTTCAAACAATTATCCTGCCTCTGCCTCCCAAGTAGCTGGGACTACAGGCATGCGCCACCACGCCTGGCTAATTTTGTATTTTTAGTAGAGACAGGGTGTTACCATGTTGGCCAGAATGGTCTCAAACTCCTGACCTCAGGTGATCCACCTGCCTCGGCCCACCAAAGTGCTGGGATTATATGCATGAGCCACCGTGCCCAGCCAGGGTGTTAGGTACTTTTTCTGTGTTATGTTTACTTCTCCCAGCAGTCCAGTGAGATAATGGGCATTTCCATTTTACAGATGAGGAAACTGAGGTTCAAAGAGATGGTATGACTTGCCTAAGGCAGTGGGGATGTGGGCGCGAACCCATGTGTCTTCATAATTTTCAGTGCTGTGAGGCAGGGAGACTTGCTTCCCCAGTGGAAGGCAGCTCCATCAGACAGAAGAATGGAGTCCTGTAAAGCATCTGGCTCACTCTCCAGGGCATGGTCTGTCAGGCACTCACACAAACTTCCCCCATGTCCTTGTCATAAGTTCTGGGCTTGAGACATGCACAGGACATCTCAGCATATCTTCCCTCCCCTACGCTCTATATATATCCCCGGTCGTTCCACAATCACAATAAATGTAAGTTGATCACGTCCTCACAGAGTCTCGGTGGAGCGTTGTTTGGAAGCCCAGATGTGCTTTAGGAGTGAAAGGCCCTGGCAGAGCTCTAGCCCCTGGATTAGCTGGAGAAGACCTGTAGAAATCAGCCTCGAGGGGGCGCTGAGTTCCCTGCTTGTTTCCAGAATGACTGCAGTGTCTGCTTTCTCCCCCGCCAACTCCCCACTCCCACAGAGTATTCATCAAGAACTCATTCATTTCCCTCTTTAAAATTAATTATATGTTGACAGGCAGTGCTTCTTATCAGCGCCTGCCTTCAACTAAATGAGACGCAGAGCCCCGAGACCAGCGAGGGAGGCAGACACACAAGATGTGTGTACAGCACACAGAGGCAAGACTGCCTGGCTGTGTTTGGGGATGCTGAGCCTTCTGGGATGTCTCTTTTTCTTTTTTCTTTTTTAGCAGAACCATTGCTTACAATTGGCTTGGTTTTGAAGTTTCAGAGTGTGGTGGGTGAACCGAGGTAACCATCTCCTGTGCTCCTGTGGAGCCTCCAAATAGCCCGTTGTGTGCCCCTCCTCCTTCCCCCTCCAGCCACACACTGCCACTGGGGCCTTTTTCAAAATCTGTTCAGGTTGTTCTCTTGCTCAGAACTCTTCCATTGCATCTCTTCACTCACAATAAAGACCCACCTCCTCCTCATGGGCCTTAGGCCCTTGCAGGGCTGGTCCATCTCCTCATCTCCTGCAGTGAGCAAGCTGCCTTACTGGCCCCTACCTCCTGAGCCTTCTCCAGGACCTTTGTACATGCTGTTCTCTCCTCCTGGCATGTGTCATTTCCAAGAAGCCTGCCTTCTTTCCCCTCCTCTATCCCTGTCCAGCCTAGGTCTCATCCTGTTACACCTTCTCACAACATAGGAAGCATAATTCTCCTGCCTCAGCCTCCCAAGTAGCTAGAATTACAGCCGAGTGCCACCACATCTGGCTAATTTTTGTGTTTTTTGTAGAGACAGGGTTTCACCGTGTTGTCCAGGCTAGTCTCAAACTCCTGACCTCACGTAATCCACCCTCCCAAAATAGAAGCACTCTTTCAAAGTTACATTCTCACAGTGATTTCCGTGACTATTTGAGGTCTGTCACAGTGTGACTGCTCTGTCCCCTGGCTGAGCTCTGTGGGAGCAGTCATTTTGCCTACTCCTGCTTGCCCATGGTGCCTGGTACGTAGGCACTTGATAAGCATTTGGGCAGACAGTGTGACATAGTGTGGTGCAGTGAGGTGCCAGGTCATTGTAGTCCCAGGCCAAAGTCCTGGGGCCTTCTCACTGTTCTAGGCAGAGAAATGGGACTTTCTGCTGGCACTTGAGACTATTGGCCACACCCTTGGTCTCCGGTGATTGCTTCATGACAGAGAACCAGGTTGGGGACCAGAACCCAGTCTCTTGCTCACTGCCGTGCTGCCTCCCTGCCACTCTCTAACCCTGGCTTTCTCCCACAGGGATCTTCATTGCCTTGCTGCTGCGTTTTGACATCAGGTGAGTGAGTGAGGACCTACCCCAACATGGGGTTCTCCAGGGGTTCTCCAGTGGCTTTCAGGAGCCCTGAGAAGGTATGTCAGGGGACCAGGCCCTCCACCCCCACAGCAACCAGAGCAATTCTGATTGTATCTGCAGTTTGCATTTTGAAGTTCGATGTGTTTGAAGAGTTTGTGGTCAAAAAAATGTTTTAAGAATCACAGGCCAGCCAGGTGCGGTGGCTCACGCCTGTAATCCTAGCACTTTGGGAGGCCGAGGTGGGTGGATCACCTGAGGTCAGGAGTTCAAGACCAACCTGGACATCATGGTGAAACCCCATCTTAAAAAAATAAAATAAGCCGGGCGCGGTGGCTCAAGCCTGTAATCCCAGCACTTTGGGAGGCCGAGGCGGGTGGATCACCAGCTCAAGAGATAGAGACCATCCTGGTCAACATGGTGAAACCCCGTCTCTACTAAAAATACAAAACATTAGCTGGGCATGGTGGCACGTGCCTGTAATCCCAGCTACCCAGGAGGCTGAGGCAGGAGAATTGCCTGAACCCAGGAGGCGGAGGTTGCGGTGAGCCGAGATCGCGCCATTGCTCTCCAGCCTGGGTAACATGAGTGAAACTCCGTCTCAAAAAAAATAAAATAAAATAAAATAAAAAAGAATCATAGGCCAAGAGATTGAAAGCCACAAGGGCCTGGTGGTAGTCACAGTGCTTTCTCACTGTGAGACCTTAACAAGTGGCCTGACGTTTCTGAGCCTCCAGTTTCTCATCTTGAGTTAATCACAAGAGTTCCTACCATGAAAATCAGGAGAGAGTGCTGAGCACACACTGACCTCGGTAGCTCTTGGGTGAATCCAGTTGCAGTCATCATCATCATCTTTTATCAGCCTAGCGTCAGTCACCATGTCTCAGCTGCTCTAGCCGTTCCTGCCCTCTCCTTACGCAGACATTTTTCAGCCTGTCGTAGACAGTGAGCACGAGGGAGAGAAGGAGGCCAACTTAGGGTCAACATTTAAAACACAGAGAAGGGCCGGGCGCGGTGGCTCAAGCCTGTAATCCCAGCACTTTGGGAGGCCGAGGCGGGTGGATCACAAGGTCAAGAGATCGAGACCATCCTGGTCAACATGGTGAAACCCCGTCTCTACTAAAAATACAAAACATTAGCTGGGCATGGTGGCACGTGCCTGTAATCCCAGCTACTCAGGAGGCTGAGGCAGGAGAATTGCCTGAACCCGGGAGACGGAGGTTGCGGTGAGCCGAGATCGCGCCATTGCACTCCAGCCTGGGTAACAAGAGCGAAACTCCGTCTCAAAAAAAAAAAAAAAAAAAAAAAAAAAACACAGAGAAGGCCTTATCCGAGTTAATGCACCTGTGCAATGGGGCTTGCCGTCAGCAGGGGGCACCAGCAACTGCTCCGTCATTTTATGCTCGGTCGCCCCAGTGAGAGCTGGCGGTGTGTGCACTTAACTTTGAGGTGGTTTGTGAACTTCTCTTTATCTCTTCATGCCTGACAGTTGCAAAAGCAGTAATAACAGTGACAGTGGTAATGAGAAACTACCAGCATCATTGAAATCCGGTTTCCATGTGAAACAGGTTTTTCCCACTCACGTGCACCTGGGTTACTTGTATAGCGCCACTTTGAACCTTATGAGTATATGGGCTCACAGTCGCCTTTGGAAGAGACCTGGCTGGTTTATAAGTAGAGGGATGTCCATGCCAGCCATCTCTACTCCTGGCTGCTCAGAGGTAATACAAAGTGAAACCCACAAGAACCCCGCAGGCTATTTGCTGAAGAGACAGCTTCAGCTGCCAGCACTCTCAGAAGCAGAGTCTCATTTCTAGCCTGGGCTCACAGCATAAGCAGCTCCTCAGCTGATTCCAGAATCAGTGCAACATTCCCAAAGGGTGTCACTTAAACCCCAGTTCTCACAGTAGGTAAGTTCTCAGTGTACTTGCAGCTGAAGGCTTAGAAGCACCCAGGGCAAACAGAGAAAGGGGTCAGAAGTACTCATTCATTCCACAAATTTTAGTGGAGTCCATAGTACTGGCTGGGCACGTCCTAGGCACTGAGGACGTGCACAGGTTATGGAGCTGGCGTTGGAGAGAGAAGTCACGTGATGGCAATGCCAAGCTACATAGGATTCATCTGTTCTGAAACTGATCTTGGATGAATCACCTCCAGGAAGCCAGTGGCATTTTATTCATGCACCCAGCATCTAGTTAGTGCCCACAAATAAGCTACTGATTATATCCACTGCACTTAAAAGTAGTAACTTACCTTTGTAGTTTCTGTATCTGTGTTTCTCAAAGCATGATCCAATGGTATGAGATCCACCTCAGATGTTTTTCAAAATGCAGATTGCTGGGCCTTGCCCTAGACCTATTAGATCAGACTCCCTGGGGTTGGGACCTAGAATCCTGCATTTTTTCACAAGCTTTCCAGATGATTTTTATGCTGACTAAAGTCTTAAAGCCACTGTTCTAGGTTATAGCATTTGGTATTCATAACCACCAGGGAGATGAGCTCCTCGCTTTCCCATTTTGCAGATGAGTAAACTGAGTCTAAGAGAAGGAAAGCAACTTGTCCAGAGACATATAGCTGGGGGCAGTACCAGTGTGCACACCTACCTCCAGACTCCCAGCCAGAGCTCAGTCACCCCCCACAGCCTCTGGGGTCTTCCCCAGCTCCCTCAGAAGGGTTGTCACTGCCCCAGTCCCTGTATCTAATCCTGCTCCTCTTTCTTCACACCTTCCCTGAAGCTTGAAGAAGAATACCCATACCTACTTCTACACCAGCTTTGCCGCCTACATCTTTGGCCTGGGCCTTACCATCTTCATCATGCACATCTTCAAGCATGCCCAGGTGAGCAGGATGGTATCAGAGTGTCAGGAATGCCTCACTGCAAATAGAGGGACTTACAGAGGATTTATTTGTAAATGCAGGCAGTCCAGAGATAGGCACTCCTCACTGGTGTTAGGGCAGTCATGTCTGTGATTCTCTTGGCCTTTCATTTGTGGTTGCAAGATGGCTGCCACTGCTCCAAGCAGCATGGGCACATTAGAGGCGAGAAGGAGGGAAAAGCGTAACAGCCATGCCTGCTGCGTTCATCAGGAAGGCAGGAACTTTCTTTCCCAGAACCCTCTCAGTATTTCATGGGCCAGATTGGGGTCCTAAAGCCACCCTAGCTACAGGAGAGTCTAGGAAAGAGGATTTGGCTTCTCAGCCTTGGTAGTGGGAAGCAGACAGAGAAGAACAGGATTGGAGTGGGTGTTGGGTATTGGGGCCTCCTTTCCCCTACCCCCAAATAGCCCAGGCTCTGCCTCGTCCTCCCACCAAGATGAGGATGGAGTACTGAGCCACCACCGGATGAAACAACATAGCACAAGGAGTAGGGGCTCTCTGTGTGGCCCGGAGAGGGGAAAGTGAGCAGACAGGATTGCCCTGCGCTCTACTGGAAATAGTAAGAGCTTCTGTTGGTTAAGCACTTCCACGTGCCAGGCTCTGCACTCATGAGGGTCCTTGTGAACAGGTGGGGAAATTGGCGTTTAAGTGCCACCCAGCAAGTATGTGTTGAAGCCAGGATTCAAACCTGGGTCAGCATGGAAACCACACCCCAGCTCTCAAGCCCGGCCATGAGAAAGGAGCATGGAACTGGGGCTAAGGGAGCCCTGTTGTGAATCCTGGCTCCACCTGGTAACCGTGGGACTCTGGGCTTGCCGCTTCTGTCCCCTTTCCCCTTTCCCAGGGCCCAAACACAGACAAGCCATCTTTGAATTAATCACAAAAGCTAGGAGTTTTTTTTGGTTCTTTTTTTGTTTGTATGTTTGTTTTTTAAGCTGGTTTCTGATCACTCTGTGCCAGGCACTGTGCTAAACTCTTTTGCTAATAACTCATTTAGTCCTTACAGTACTCCAGGGAGAGAGGTCCTAGTACAGTATTACTTTATAGAAGGTCAAAAGGCCTCTCATCCATAAGTGGAAAAAGCAAGAACCAGTGTGGAACTGCGTCTCACATCTGCTCAAGGGCTTCAAGGGCGTGTAAGCTGAGAGTAACATGCATATGGCAGGGGGTCCCAGAGAGTGACAGGACCTGGATTGGAGGACTAGTTAAGAGGCCATGGCTGGGCGTGGTGGCTCACGCCTGTAATCAGATCACCTGAGGTCGGGAGTTCAAGACCAGCCTGACCAACATGGTGAAACCCCGTCTTTAGATAGATAGATAGATAGATAGATGATTGATGATTGATGATTGATAGATAGATAGATAGATAGATAGATAGATAGATAGATAGATAGATAGATAGATAGATAGATAGATGATAGATAGAGGCCTTTTGGAGTCTGCAGCTCTCAGCTACTTACTGGAGTACAAGCCCAGAGCCAATTCCCCCAGTGGCCACAAGGTGGCAGGCTCGCCTTCTGCCTGGCTGGACTCAAAACAGGCTCCCTTTCAGAGCTCTGGCACACAGGATTCCTCTCCTCTATGGGGAAACTGCAGCACTGAGATAACGTGGACTCCCCAGGCTACACACTACATCAAACTGGGCCCTGGCCAGGCTCCGGACTCTGCGCTAATGAACTCCAGAACCCTGGCTCAAGGCCTGTGCTACTCTCCAGCAGCAGCCCAGCCCTTCTCCCCAGTCATCCAAGTGGGCACCTCTCTGAAAATCCTTCTTGAAAAGGGGATCCAGGACGTGAGAGGACGCTGTTCCACAGGGTCCCCTGCCCTCTCCAACACACCCTGCCTTCTCCAACACACAGGTAGTCCCAGTGCTAGCATTGCTCTAGGTAAGGATCACCTCTCACTTTGTGCAGTGGTATGATAGCTCACTGCAACCTCGGCCTCCTGGGCTCAAGTGATTCTCCTGTCTCAACCTCCTGAGTAGCTGGGACTATACGCATGCACCACCACGCCCAGCTAATTTTTGTATTTTTAGTAGAGATAAGGTTTCACCATGTTAGCCAGGCTGGTCTCAAACTCCTGATCTCAGGTGATCCGCCCACCTTGGCCTCCCTAAGTGCTGGGATTATGGGTGTGAGCCACCATGCCTGGCCTACTTAGGGATTATTAGATTCAATGATTTAATATATGTAAAGCAGTATTGATCACAGCCCACCTATGAAATAGTCTACGTTAGGATCAAGGGCATGCGGGAAAGATTTATTTGTTATCTGGCCAAGGGCTGGCTTTACATTAAGAATGAAGTCTCTTCCAAGTAAAGAACGAAGAAAAAAAAAAAAAGAATGAAGTCTGAGGCCGGGCCTGGTGGCTTAGACCTGTAATCTCAGCACTTTGGGAGGCCGAGGCCGGCGTATCATAAGGTCAGGAGCTCAAGACCAGTCTAGCCAATATAGGGAAACCCCATCGCTACTAAAAATACAAAAAGTAGGCCGGGCGCGGTGGCTCAAGCCTGTAATCCCAGCACTTTGGGAGGCCGAGGCGGGTGGATCACGAGGTCAAGAGATCGAGACCATGCTGGTCAATGTGGTGAAACCCCGTCTCTACTAAAAATACAAAGTTGGCCGGGTGTGGTGGCGCATGCCTGTAATCCCAGCTACTCGGGATGCTGAGGCAGGAGACTCGCTTGAACCTGGGAGGCAGAGACTGCAGTGAGCTGAAACCGTGCCACTGCACTGCAGCCTGAGTGACAGAGCAAGACTCCGTCTCAAAAAAAAAAAAAATGAGGTCTGAGCTGGACGAGAGGTGGCTCTCCCCTGTAATCCCAGCACTTTAGGAGGCTGAGGCAGGTTGATCATGAGGTCAGGAGTTGGAGACCAGCCTGACCAACATAGTCAAACCCCATCTCTACTAAAAATACCAAAAAAAATTAGCCTGGCATGATGGTGTGTGACTGTAATCCCAGCTGCTCAGGAGGCTGAGGCAGGAGAATCCCTTGAACCCAGGAGGCAGAGGTTGCAGTAAGCCAAGATCACACCATTGCACAAAAAAAATTAAAGAACTCGGCCAGGTACAGTGGCTCATGCCTGTAATTCTAGCACTTTGGGAGGCCACGGCGGACAGATCACCTGAAATCAGGAATTCAAGACTAGCCTGGCCTACATGGTAAAACCCTGTCTTTACTAAAAATACAAAAAATTAGCTGGGTGTGGTAGTGGACGCCTGTAATCCCAGCTACTTGGGAGACTGAGGCAGGAGAATCACTTGAACCCAGGAGGTAAAGGTTGGGATGACCCAGAATTGCGCCACTGCACTCCAACCTGGGGAGCCATTCACTGAGTATTTACCAGGCCTCTTCAGCATGCAAGACACACTGTGGTGAGCAAGACAGCTGTGGACCTGCCCTCACCGAGCTCACCGCCTACGAGGATGTTCCATTATAAACTGCTGAGGAGGCTGGGCACAATGGCTCAGCTGTAATCCCAGCACTTTGGGAGGCAAAAGCAAGTGGATCACTTGAGCTATGGAGTTCGAGACCAGCCTGGGGGAAAATGGTGAAATCCAGTCTCTACAAAAAACAGTACAAAAATGAGCCAGACATGGAGCGCACATCTGTAGGCCCAGCAACTTGTGGGCTACACTGAGCTGTGTTCATGTCACTGCACTTCAGTCTGGGAGACAAAGTAGGAACCTGTCTCAAAAAAAAACAAAAATTGCTGGGGAATGCTGTGAGGAAAATTAGAGGGACCTACAGAGCATGTAGCAAGGGACCTGGCTCCATGTGAAAGAGCACAAGTGTGCCAGCCTGACCAACATGGTGAAACCCCATCTCTACTAGCTGGGCATGGTGGCGCATGCCTGTAATCCCAGATACTCAGGAGGCTGAGGCACCAGAATCACTCCAGCCTGAGAGGCGGAGGTTGCAGTGAGCCAAGATCGCACCATTGCACTCCAGCCTGGGAGACAGAGCAAGAGTCTATCTCAAAAAACAAAAAAAAAGGAAACTCTAGGTACAAAGGTCCTTCAGTCTGGGCACGATGCCTTACACCTGTAAAACCAGCACTTTGGGAGGATAAGGCAGGCAGATCACCTGAGGTCAGGAGTTCAAGACCAGCCAGGCCAACATGGCAAAACCCCACCTCTACCAGAAATACAAAAATTAGCCAGGTGTGGTGGTGCATGCCTGTAATCCCAGCTACTCCGGAGGCTGAGGCAGGAGAATGGCTTGAATCTGGGAGGTGGAGGAGATCCTGCAATTGCACTCCAGCCTGGGTAACAAGAGCAAAACTCCGTCTCAAAAAAAAAAAAGATTTCGATCTCTGAGGCCTGGACTATTCACTCTCCTTGTGAAGCATCGGTTTTCCACCTCTACAAAGGGTAACCATCATGGAATGTGGCAGTGGGCTCACTCCTGGGAAGGCTGAGCTCAGTCCCTGCACAGTAGATGTTCATGATCAGGGGTCTTAGTATAATCATCCTTTTCTCCAAACCCAGCTTTACCAGGAGTCTCAACACAGACATGCCAAACTGCTTGGATGTGAATCCTGGTGGAGTCAGTGACCAGCTAGGTCACCTTCGTACAGGCTGCAACAAGTACTCATTACATAGCAGCTGTGTCATCATCGTCACTATAATAGCATCTCCTGGAGCATTTGCTAAAATGCAGGTGTCAGCCCCAGACCTCAGGAAGCAGTCTCTGGGCATAGGACCAAACCAGGAAGTTGCATTTTGCACCTGGTAACCCAGGTGATTCAGGTGCTGCCAACCAAACCCTGGGAACCCTTGAAGCCCTGCCTGCTCGAGTTTCTTAGTTTTCTTGCATTCCCTCTTGGGAGGAACAGCCCTTGTCTGGGAGTTCGGAGCCCTGGGTTCAGCCCCAGCCACTGACTTGCTATGGACCTGGGCCAGTCACTGTCCTTCAGTCCGGTCCAGGAGGGGGTTGGGGTGCTGGGCATGGCTCTGAGGCAGTGCCCTGCCCAGCATGCCCTCACCAGCCTGTGTCCTCTCATAGCCCGCCCTCCTGTACCTGGTCCCCACCTGCATCGGTTTTCCTGTCCTGGTGGCGCTGGCCAAGGGAGAAGTGACAGAGATGTTCAGGTAAGGCAGAGTGGGGGGCAGATGTCCTCGTGGGCACTGGTGCCCCTGTTCGCAGCCAGTAGCACTGCTGGGGGTGTCTCTGTATACCTCTCCAGGAGAACATTGTTCCCACCACCAGCCCACCCCTCGCTCTTTCCACCAGTGCATAGGTACCTGGCCTGTGGGCACCATTGGGAACCTTCCCCTGGGCCAGGAGCCAGGGAGAGCAAGGCATCAGGGCCCTCTAGGTATCCCCTCATCCAAATGCTAGGTGGAGCTTAAGAATAGCTGGTATGGGCCGGGTGCAGTAGCTCACGCCTATAATCCCAGCACTTTGGGAGGCTGAGGCGGGGGGATCACGAGGTCAGGTGATCAAGACTAGCCTGGCTAACATGGTGAAACCCCGTCTGTACTAAAAATACAAAAAATTAGCCGGGCGTGGTGGCACATGCCTGTAGTCCCAGCTACTTGGGAGGCTGAGGTAGGAGAATTGCTTGAACTCGGGAGGCGGAGGTTGCAGTGAGCTGAGATCACGCCACTGCACTCCAGCCTGGACAACCAAGTGAGACTCCCTCTCAAAAAAAAAAAAAAAAAAAAAAAATAGCTGGTATGGATTTTTCTCTGCCTACTGTCAGAAGTCCTAGGTGAAGGTGACTGCAGGCATGTCTGTCCCTCCCATGGCCTCAGTTATCACATGTGAGTAATGGAGCGGGGGGGGTGTCGGATGCCCTAGCATGGTAGAAAGTGCCCCGAGTAGAAGGCATGTGTCAGCCCCTGTTCACTCGCCTCTATGGCTGTAACCCACAGCACTGCTTTCTCTTCATCTGTTTGTATCTCACTCAACAGATACCCCTTCCCCAGGGCCATAGCCACACCTGTCACACCCTGCACACAGCCCCACCCATACCCCAAGGCCTGTGTGATTCCAACAGGTGTCTGTCCCCTGCACCACCGACCCTGCCTGCCAGGGACCTAGAAATAGCTGCCAGTTGCGATTAAAGCTGCCTACTCGAGGGCCTTCCGCCCAGTTCCACCTGCCTGGCCTCCAAGCTGTCCCTAGAGCCCCTGCCAGGGCCTCCTGTGCACCTGGCTGCCCGCAGGGGAACCTGTGACTCACCCCTCCCCCAGACCTGCCTCTGCCCTCCCTGTCCTGCCTAGAATCCCCAGCTCCCAGCCTGCCTGCCCATATTTCCTCTCCCTGCAATGCTCTGTGGTCTGAGGCAGGTAGGGGCTGGGAGTGAACTTGGGGACAGGTCTCAGGGAGCTTTGGGAGCAGGCATGGCACCCGATCCCTGAGCTTAGCATGCACCCCTCACCCTCTGCCTCCCACCCAGCCCAGGTTTCCCTGCCCCTTGGGGTAATCCCCCAATGCTGTCGTGCCCTCCTCAGGCAAAGTTCTGAATACCTGGACCAAGGCAGAGAGTGCCCCTGGACTTTACCTGCTTGGTGCTAAATGTTCTGCCGTACAGGTACCCTGCCCCCGCCTTTTGCCCTCCACCCCTACCCTGAAGGTTCTTAGATTGGGGTAAAAAGCAGGTGATCTCTCTCCTTTCTGCCCATTTCTGTCCCTTGATTCTCCACCCTGTCTTTTGTTTTACTTTTCCCGTTGATTGCCCCCTTCTTCCTGATTTACTTATCTTTATATTAGTACCACATTTACATAGTTCAGAATCCCAGAGCCGTAACAGAGAGCACCCTCATGCTCCAGCCACCCCACAGAGGCCAGCTGTGTTACACAGACATTCAGAGCCACCTGTGCACTGAAACTAGACGTGTGTATACATACTCTTGCACAGACAGTGGCGTCCTTGGAGCATTCTGCACCTTGGTGTTGCACAGTATTTCTTAGAGTATTTCCATAGCAGCACATACACTTCCAACTAACACAGCGGCCTGATGTGCCTTTGTCTAGGTGCATCTTTTTTCACTCTCCAAGTCATACCAGCGTCTTTCCATAAAATCTGGAAGTGCAAAAATAGATAAAAACAAGACGGTTCTGCTTCTTGGAAAGGAGGTCTCTGTCCTCCCTTAGTCTTTCCCTATCCATCTCTTTTTTCTGTCTCTTCTCTGTCTCTCACACAGCTACGAGTCCTCGGCGGAAATCCTGCCTCATACCCCGAGGCTCACCCACTTCCCCACAGTCTCGGGCTCCCCAGCCAGCCTGGCCGACTCCATGCAGCAGAAGCTAGCTGGCCCTCGCCGCCGGCGCCCGCAGAATCCCAGCGCCATGTAATGCCCAGCGGGTGCCCACCTGCCCGCTTCCCCCTACTGCCCCGGGGCCCAAGGTAGGGCAGACACTGCAGCTCCAGTGTACAGGGCAGGGACCATTGCCAGGGGTAGGTCGCAAGAGGCAGCTCCTCCACAGCCACCAGGCAGTGGCTGCACCCAGTCATGGACAACCCCGAAGCTTCCTGTCCTCACCATTAACACAGGGCCCAAATCAGAGTGGATAGAAATGGCCCTTGTCATACAGTAGTAGATACTGTTACTATTCAAGGTATATGTGTGACCTTAGGCAAGTCTCTTTCTTTCTTCATCTATAAGTGGGCACATTCCTGCCTCCCGGGGTTGATCTGGTGAGGAAATGTGTGTATTGTCCTTGGCATGAACTCAGTTGCTCAATAAGTGAAGCCCATAGAAGGCGCTAAGCTGGGGTGTCTGTCTTCAAAGCAGCATCTTGCCACTTACCAATACAGCAGTGCCCTCACCTCTGGGGCTGAGCTATTTGATTCCTGCCATGTGCCCTGGGAGGCAGCCGATCTCCATCTCCTGTAGCCTGGTCATGGCCGCCCCTTTTTCCATGCAACAGCAGAAGGTTCAGAAAGCTTGAAGTCGGCCCACACAAGCCCAGGCCCAGCCTCTCTTCCATTGGCTGCTGCCCTTGCTGCCTCCTGGCACCCCCGGGCACAGAGAAAGCAGAGCAGCCTGTCTGAGGAGGGCACGCAGTGGGGCTGGGGCCAGGTACTGTTCAGTGCTGGGCAGTGGACACAGGGCTGGCACTCCACATGTGACCAGGCACTTTCCTAGGATGGGAGTGGGGGAAGGGAACCACCAAGGTTCTGCTGACCCTCCTCTAAATGAATTTTTATTGTTTTGTTTTTTGGTCAGTTATGAGGAGTCAAATCCAAAGGATCCAGCGGCAGTGACAGAATCCAAAGAGGGAACAGAGGCATCAGCGTCGAAGGGGCTGGAGAAGAAAGAGAAATGATGCGGCTGGTGCCCAAGCCTCTCAGGGCCAGACCAGACAGATGGGGGCCGGGCCCACACAGGCGTGCATGGGCAGAGGGCACAGGAGGCCGAGGGCAGCCCCAGGACAAGCCAGGGGACAGCAGGATACCTCCAGCCAGGCCTCTGTGGCCTCTGTTTCCCTCTCCCTCTCCCTGGCCCTCCTCTGCTCCTCCCCACTCCCTGCAGGCAAAAGAAGCCCCCAGCTTCACCCATCCCTGGGAGCCCGGTGGGAAAAGTGGGTGTGATTTTTAGATTTTGTATTGTGGACTGATTTTGCCTCACATTAAAAACTCATCCCATGGCCAGGGCGGGCCACTGTGCTCCTGGAAGGGTTCTCTGTGTAAGTGCCCAGTGTCTTGCACTGGGTTTTCTAGGTCTCACCTGCCCACCCAGAATCTTTTCTGCAAGCCCCTTGAGGGTACCCACCCGAGCACCTGGCCAGCCCAGCCCCCAAAAACACCTTCAAGCCAGTAGAGGGGGCCCACGAGCCCTCCTCTCATCAAGTATCACATTTTTCTCACCACCTTCCTGGAAACACTTGGGGGCAGCAAGGGTTTTGGACAGATGAGTCCCCCACTCACCACCGTGAGAGGCTGACCGGACTCAAGGGAACCAGTAACCGTAGAGCCTGCCAGCTTCCCTGGTCCCTGTTCACCTATGGCTTCAGCTGGCAAGGCTAGGACTCGAGGTTGCCCTGAAGATCAAGGCTTTGTCTCTCCCATTCTGCCCATTCCTGGGTTTCTTCTCAAAATGACTACTGTGGGACCAGTCATGGCACAAGGACTAGGCCCTCTGGAGAGGCTGCGATGAGGAAGGATTGAGCCTAGTGATTCTTAGAGGCCTTCTGTGGCCTAGGAGCTGAAATCTCAGCTGTTCTCCCTAAAGTTTGCTTGCTAAGACAGCAGCCCTGGCCAGCAGATGACTGACCCCACCCCAAACCAGGCAAACTGGCCATAACCCTCATACACTTACCTGGCTTGAGGCCACTGGGTGGGGAAACAGGAGCCAGTACCCACCTGCTCAAATGGACTGACAGACCCAGGGCTCTCCCTTGCCCAAGCTTCAGGTTCAAAGGCTGAAAACAACAGTGGCAGCCAAGCGCAGTGGCTCACACCTGTAATCCTAATGCTTTGGGAGGCCAAGGCAGGCAGATCACAAGGTCAGGAGTTCAATACCAACTTGGCCGTGAACCCTCATCTCTACTAAAAACAGAAAAATTAGCCGGGCATGGTGGCAGGTGCCTTTAATCCCAGCAACTCAGGAGGCGAGGCAGGAGAATCACTTGAACCTGGGAGATAGCAATTGCAGTGAGCCAAGATTGCACTCCTGCACTCCAGCCTGGGCAACAGAGCGAGACTCTGTCTCAAGGAAATAACAGTGGCTTCCTTTGGAAGTGGCAAAAGGACAGTCATGACCAGAGACTCAGGAGTATGGTTGTGATACCCTCGCAAGGTATTGGCATGTACCAGGCATCTTGAGAGAGGATTTCGCTTCTGAGTCTTGGGCTGTCGGTGCTATTATTAGCTGCATTGTGCAGATGAGGGAATTGAGGCAGCTTGCCCATGGACACCGATTTTACCTTAGGCAAGCCAGACTGAATTCCAAGTTCCTAAGGACAGCAGCTCTTCCCCAAACCCCTCGGATCAAGTCACTGTGGCTGGTGTGCTGGGCATCCCTGAGCCCCAGCCACCCAACTTTACTGCGTCCAGGATTTTATAGAAAGGAAAGGGATAGAAAATCTCAAAAGGCTTCTTCCTTTCAGGGAGGGGGGTTCCCTTTCAGGGGCTTCTGGAATCTACCCACTCAAGCCGACTCCCGGGCCCATGTGGTCCTGGAACAAGGCCCCTCTGAGGGCGGCAGACGGGGCGGGCGGCCCAGGCATACAGCATGGTTGGCTCTGCAGCCCAGGTCCCACAAAGGCCTTATTGAGTCACCAGCAGCCCCCGGCAGAGGCTGAGGTGGCAGTGGCGCCGAGCGCCTGCCACCTAATGACTGTCCTGGCCCAGCCAGATGTTCCGCAGACCTCCGGAGCAGCGGACCAGGGCCCGCCCGGCCAGCCGGCACCGCAGAGGCCACTCTAATTCCAATTAACCAGCTTCAGCTGAGCAAACAGCGGGCAATGGTGGCCCAGCCCGGGCGGTAGGCCCGGCCCGCAGAGCCTGCGAGTCTAGACTCCAGATGTGAACCGCCACCACCAGAGTCCCATGGAAAAATGGCACCAGTCCGGGCACGGATTGGGCCTGCATGCTGGGGAGGGGGTGCGGGTGGCTGGGCAAGACACTGAGTGGGCTTGATGCCAGCCTCAACTGGGTGGGGCGGATTCTTAGAAAACTGCTCTAGAACCCTCCCCAAGTTCTACCCTGATTTATTAGGCTCTGTTTCTGTGCCTCAGTCTCCCCCGACTGCAATAGGAGAGAGGGCTGCAAGAACAAAACCAGCAGCCCTGCTGAGACTCCACTATGCGCTTTAGTTGTACTTGACGTGACTAGCATTATGCTGGTATAATTGACCCTTGAACAACACAGGAATTAGGGGCGTCACAGTCGAAAATCTCTGTAACTTTTTTTTTTTTTTTTTTTTGAGATGGAGTTTTCGCTCTTGTTGCCCAGGCTAGAGTGCAACGGTGTGATCTCAGCTCAACGGCAACCTCCGCCTCCCAGGTTCTAGCAATTCTCCTGCCTGGGCCTCCTGAGTAGCTGGGATTACAGGCATGTGCCACCATGCCCGGCTAATTTTGTGTTTTTAGTAGAGATGGGGTTTCTCCATGTTGGTTAGACTGGTCTTGAACTCCCTACCTCAAGTGAGCCACCCACCCTCGGCCTCCCAAAGTGCTGGGATTACAGGAGTGAGCGACTGTGACCGGCGTGTGTAACTTTTGAATCCCCAAAAACAACTAATAGCCTACTGTTGACCAGAAGCCTTACCTAATAACATAAACATATGTAACACTTATGTTACATACAACATTTTGTATATGTACTATACTGTATTTGTACCATAGAGTAGGCTAGAGAAAAGAAAATGTTTTTAAAAAAATCGTAAGAGAAAAACATTCAGTAGTAGAGGGAATGCAAAAATAAATTTAAAAAATATATTATTCATTAAATGGGCTGGGCGCCGTGGCTCATGCCTGTAATCCTAGCCCTTTGGGAGGCCAAGGCGGGCAGATCACAAGGTCAGGAGTTCAAGACCAGCCTCGCCAATATGGTGAAACCCTGTCTCTACTAAAAATACAAAAATTAGCTGGGCATGGTGGTGGGCGCCTGCAGTCCCAGCTACTCGGGAGGCTGAGGCAGGAGAATCACTTGAACCCAGGAGGGGGATGTTGCAGTGAGCTAAGATCGCACCACTACACTCCAGCCTGGGCTACTAGAGTGAGACTCCGTCTCAAAAATAACAATAAAAATAATTCATTAAGTGAAAGTGGATCATCATAAGATTTTCATCCTGGTCTTTGTGTTGGTCTTGCTGCCTCAGTGGTGGCAGAGGTTAAAAAAAAAAAAAAGTCCATGTATAAGTGCACCCACACAGTGCAAACTCGTGTTGTTCAAATTTTATCTTAGATTTATTTAATCGTTGTAACAACCCCAAAAGGTACCTACATCATTCTTATGATAGGGAAACTGAGGCAGAGATCCTAAGTAAGGGCCCTGGGGAACGTGAACGCAGAGTGCCTGGCTTCCAAGACTCGTTTTCACCGTGGTGCTGTTTGACATGATCAGGATACTAGCGTTCCCTTTTTAGGGGGCAGCATTGGAGAGTGGGGGTCGGCAACCTCAGAGTCTTGCAGCAGGGCTGGCTCCTGCAGTGAATGGAACGGTCTTGCTCACGCTGTCCTGTGCTCGACTGTGAAGGGGGGGAACGACCCGCTTCCCAGGGCGGGTCCAGCTTTCTGAAGGAAAGCCTTCAGAGCCTCCAAGCCCGGCACCAGGTACCAGTTAAGCACTGGACAGGGAACAGAAGGGGTCAAACACCGCTTGCCGCGTCTTGCAACGGCTGAATAAATGGATAACGTTAAGTGCTATGGCTTAGGGCAGTAGTGCCTCCGGTTCATACGATCATGTCTGGGGTCCCTGAGGAGCAAAGCAAAAGTCTACCATCCAAGAGATCAGAGTTCATCTGTTCTTGCACAACCAGGGAAGCTGAGTCACCCCAAAACACGGGCAAGACTTGGCGGTAGTCGCAAGTGGCTATCAGCAGCGAGGCGGCAAGGGCCTGCCCTGCCGCCCCGCCCCGCGTTTGGATTCCCTCCAGGATTCCGGGCCAGGGCGCGGGAGGCGGAGGCCGCGGAGGGGGCGGCAGGAGGCTGCATCCTGCCCTGGTGCGTCAGGAAGGGCCGAGCGAGCGGGAAGGAAAGCACCACCCCCACCCCCGCCGCGGCCACACCTGGGTTCTCCAGGCGGGCGGGAGGCCCCGGGCCGGCGCCTGGCTCCAGCAAGTCTGGGCCGCCTCCCCGCACCGCCCCGCGGGGGCAGCCAGATGGGCCGCCCGCCCAGCTACGCAGGCAGGAAACGGCCGGGCTGCCAGGAACGCGCGCGGGGGAGGGAGCAGGCCCGGCCTGGCCACGCCCGCCCGGGGACTGAGAGGCCGAGCGCCGCCCGGCGGGGACAGGCGAGCTCCAAGAGGCTGCGATCCGTCCAATTGGAGCTCCAAGTGACTCCATCCGTCCCTGCCAATTCCTAGCTGGGTTTCGCTGGGCAGGTCGCTTTACTTCTCTGTGCCTCAGTTTCCCTACCTGTAAAGTGGGGCTGCTTGTCTCCGCTCTTTTCTCTTTTTCCTTTATTTGTGCAGCAGGGTCTCACTTTGTCGCCCAGGCTGAAGTGCAGTGCCGCGATCACGGCACACTGCAACCTGGACCTTCTGGGTTCAAGCGATCCTCTACCCTCAGCTGGGACTATAGGTGTGTCCCACCACGCCTGCTGATTTTTTTTTTTTTTTTTTTTTTTTTTTTTCCTAGTAGAGACCGCGAGGTTCTCACTGTTGCTCAGGCTGGTCTCCAACTCCTGCGCAAGCAATCTTCGCACATCGTCCTCCCAAAGTGCTGGGATTAGACGCGTGAGCCACCACGCCTAGCCTCAGCTATTTTCTTATCCTGTGTGACCCCAGGACAATTTCTTTCCCTTCTCTTCCTTGGTTTTCTTAACTGAAAAATGGGGTGAACAATTGAACCTCCCTCAACCATGGGCTAAGCCTTTGTTTTCCTCCCCACCGGAGCCCCAGCACTTGGCCCATTGCCTGAAACATGAAGGCACTCACTATTTGCTGTATGAGTGAATATAAAGATTTAGGACAATCTTGAGGGCCTGGCTATGGTACACAAATTATC